GGGGTTTTTCTGGTTATTGGGTTTTATTTGTTATTTGCTTGTTTTTTGTGTAGCTTTTCGTAGTTTGATTTTTTGATTGTTCTTTTTTCTGATTATTTGATTAATTGGTTTTTCTGATCATTGAGATTTTTTTGTTTTTATTTGTTATTTGCTTGGTTTTTGTGTAGCTTTTGGTAGTTTTGTTTTTTGATTATTGTTTTTTCTGGTTATTTGATTATTTGGTTTTTCTGATTTTTGGTTTTTTTTGCTTTTATTTGTTATTTGCTTGGGTTTTGTGTAGCTTTTTATACTTTGATTTTTTGATTGTTGTTTTGTCTGATTATTTGATTATTTGTTTTTTTTCTGTTTTCTTTTGTTTTTATTTGTTATTTGCTTATTTTTTATGTAGATTTTTGTAGTTTGCTTTTTTGACTTTGTTTATTTTTCGTTTTGCTTTGTTTTTTTTTATTATTATTTCGTTGTTGCCGTTGAGGTTTTTTTTGTTGGATTTTGCTTTTCTTCGCTTGTTTTTGTGGGACATTTTTGCCTGTTCTTCCCAGCTGCACTTGGGATGTTTTTATCTCCTTCAAACTCACATTTTCAGCCTTTTTGCAGTGGTTTGGGGACACAGGAAATGCAACCAACCCGAGGTGTTACCCCACAGCTGAGGGGTTTGGCAGCCCAATTTTGCAATGTGGGCAGAAATATCTGCTCAGAGTGGTGAGAAAATCCCCTGGGGAAGGAAAACTCCTCCTCCAGCTCCTTCCTCAACAATGGGATGAGCCTGGCAGGAAATGTGGGCTTGGATCACACGGAGAGGTGTCAAAACAGAGCCTTGCTAATGAGTGCAAATGAGCCTTGTCATTAATGACTCTCAGGGGAGGAAGAGCTTGTCATCATCTTCCTCACAGACATTGATTACAGTGCTCAGAGCCTCCAAAATTCATCTGACATTAATTAGCTCAGAGCCTCCAAAATTCGTCTGACATTAATTAGCTCAGAGCCTCCAAAATTCGTCTGACATTAATTAGCTCAGAGCCTCCAAAATTCATCTTGATTTTAGTGGTTGGTCCAGAGAAATCTGGTCTTTATCCAGAGCTGGAATGGGCCTCCTGCCACGAGCCAGGAGGATTTCAGGCTCCTGTTCCAGGATATTGTTTGGCTTTGGCTTTAATTAAATCCTCCAAGTCTGAGTCGAGCTGCTGCATGTCCTGGGTTTGCCTCAGAGAATTTAGGTTTGCCTTGGGAGCAGCCAACTCCCAAGTTTTCCAAGTTTGAAGGTGTTTATGGTGAAGGTCATGTGATTCCCCCACACCTGGGAGGCCAAAATTCCCTGTGGTTTGAGGGAAAACTGGGAGAAATCGAAGCTTCATCCCTTCACTCCTGTTTAGTTTAAACTATTGTCAGATTTAGGGCAGATTTAATAACTCAAAGGAGATTTTGAGGGTTTGTAGGGAATAATGCAAAGGGTTTAATCTGGGATTTTTGGGATGTGTTGGCTCCAGTTGCTGCCACTTTACTGACATCACTGAAGCTTCATCCCTTTGCTCCTGTTAGTTTAAACTATTGTCAGATTTAAGGCAGATTTAATAACTCAAAGATTCTGAGAGTTTGTAGGGAATAATGCAAAGGGTTTAATCTGGGATTTTTGGGATGTGTTGACTCCAGTTGCTGCCACTTTATTGACATCATTGAAGCTTCATCCCTTCAATCCTGTTTAGTTTAAACTATTGCCAATTTTAAGGCAGAGAATTATTAACAACTCAAAGGAGATTTTGAGGGTTTGTAGGGAATAATGCAGAGGGTTTAATCTGGGACTGTGGGATGTGTTGGCTCCAGTTGCTGCCACTTTATTGACATCATTGAAGCTTCATCCCTTCAATCCTGTTTAGTTTAAACTATTGTCAGATTTAAGCCAGAGAATTATTAATAACTCAAAGGAGATTTTGTAGGGAATAATGCAAAAGGTTTAATCTGGAATTTTTGGGATGTGTTGACTCCAGTTGCTGCCACCTTATTGACATCATTGAAGCTTCATTCCTTCAATCCTGTTTAAACTATTGTTAAATTTAAGCCAGAGAATTATTAACAACTCAAAGGAGATTCTGAGAGTTTGTAGGGAATAATGTAAAGGTTTTAATCTGGGATTTTTGGGATGTGTTGACTCCAGTTGCTGCCACTTTATTGACATCATTGAAGCTTCATCCCTTTACTCCTGTTTAGTTTAAACTATTGTTAAATTTAAGCCAGAGAATTATTAATAAATCAAAGGAGATTTTGAGGGTTTGTAGGGAATAATGTAAAGGGTTTAATCTGGGATTTTTGGGATGTGTTGGCTCCAGTTGCTGCCACTTTACTGACATTATTGAAGCTTCATCCCTTCACTCCTGTTTAGTTTAAACTATTGTCAGATTTAAGCCAGATTTAATAAGTCAAAGGAGATTTTGTAGGAAATAATGCAAAGGTTTTAATCTGGGATTGTGGGATGTGTTGGCTCCAGTTGCTGCCACTTTATTGACATCACTGAAGCTTCATTCCTTCACTCCTGTTTAAACTATTGCCAATTTTAAGGCAGAGAATTATTAACAACTCAAAGGAGATTTTGAGGGTTTGTAGGGAATAATGCAAAGGGTTTAATCTGGGATTGTGGGATGTGTTGGCTCCAGTTACTGCCACTTTATTGACATCATTGAAGCTTCATTCCTTCACTCCTGTTTTGTTTAAACTATTGTCAGATTTAAGCCAGATTTAATAAGTCAAAGGAGATTTTGTAGGGACTAATGCAAAGGTTTTAATCTGGGATTTTTGGGATGTGTTGGCTCCAGTTGCTGCCACTTTATTGACACCATTGCTTTGGCTGCTGGAATCTCCACCTCCGGGGTGGAAGTTTGTCCTGAGCCACCTTTTCAAGAGCTGGCGCTGCTGAAAAGAGACTTTGAGCTCTTGGTCCAGCTCGTTTCCTGCCTCTAACGAGCTCCTGGCAGAGTAACCCTGGATTCCTCCTCCGCAGGGAAAGCTCTCCTTCGCCAACGGCTTCGTTTTGGAGGGAACCTTCACCAACAAGTCGGGCCAAGGCCTCCAGACCCACGGCGTCCTCAACACCTCCAGCGAGCAGCTGGATGAGAGGATCACCAAAACGTGAGCAGAGCCGGCGGATTCCCCGGCCAGGGCTTGGATTTGGGCTCCGGGAGGGGTCGTGGATAATTCCTGTGGGGATCAAAGCAGCCCTGGCAGAGATTGGAGCTGAAAACTGGGTTAGGGGAGAAGGAGGAAAGGAGAGCAGAGGTTGTCGTGGTGTTAATCACAGAATTATAGAATCATGGAATCAGCTGGGTTGGAAGGGACCTCCGAGATCATCCAGTCCAACCCTTGATCCAACCCCGCCGTGGTTCCCAGCCCATGGCACTGATGCCACATCCAGTCTCAGCTTAAACACCTCCAGGGATGGAGAATCCCCCCCTTCCCTGGGCAGCCCATTCCAATGGCTGAGCACCCTCTCTGCAAAGAAATTCTTCCTGATCTCCAACCTAACCCTCCCCTGGCACAGCTGAAGACCCAGCCCTCTTGTCTTGCTGATGGTTCCTGGGAAAAGAGACCAACCCCCCCCTGGCTCCCCCCTCCTGTCAGGGAGTTGCAGAGAGTGAGGAGGTCTCCCCTGAGCCTCCTCTTCTCCAGGCTGAGCCCCCCCAGCTCCCTCAGCCTCTCCTCACAGCACTTGTGCTCCAGTCCCTTCCCCAGCCTCGTTGCTCTTCCCTGGACCTGCTCCAGGACCTCAATTAATGCCAGGTGGGAAGGGGAGAAGAGATGTTCTCCTCCCACCCTGCCACTGCCCTCCACGTGGAAGATCAGAGCTGCTGCTCCTGTTTTGGCAGGAAATGGTGGGAATACAAGGCAGGAATGGCTGAGCTGGAGCCATCAGACCACATCCCTCATTTCAGGGCTGAACCCTGCCAAGGGATGCCAAGCTGGAGGACCTGGATTCAGCCAGTTTAACTCACAGGAGGGAGTCCCAGTGGGGAAAAAAACCCAGCTGCCTGTCCTCACAAATTCCATTTCCTCTCACAAACCCCAGTTCAGTTTCCTCCTCTTTCCTCTGCAAAACATTTCCAGTCCGTCATTCCTGTTGCAGAAACAGCTCCTGTTCTTTCCAGGCAGAAATAGCTGCTGGTGGTGGTTGCTCTTCTGAAGGCTTTGGGGTGAGATAAATGGTCTGGGTTTAGGGACATCCACCAGGGGCCAAGGAAGTCTGTGACCAGCAGAAGTTGAGGTTATTTATGTTCCACACACCAGGAATTTTTCTTCGCCCAAAGCACCTCATTGTCAGGACAAGGGACCTGAGTTGCTTTTATTGAATTCCCAGTTGGGCACTTCCATGTTCCTCTGCTCCTACAGAACATCAGGGAGTCAGCATGGAATGGTTTGGGTGGGAAGGGACATTAAGGTCACCCAGTCCCACCCCCTGCCATGGGCAGGGACACCTTCCACTAGCCCAGGTTGCTCCAGCCTGGCCTCGGACACTTCCAGGGATCCAGGGGCAGCCACAGCTTCTCTGGGAAATCCATCCCAGTTCCTCCCCACCCTCACAGCCAGGAATTCCTTCCCAATATCCCACCTAAATTTATCCTTTTATAGCTTAAAGCCATTCCCTGTGTGCTGTCCCTCCATCCCTTGTCCCCAGTCCCTCTCCAGCTCTCCTGGAGCCCCTTTAGGCCCTGCCAGGGGCTCTCAGCTCTCCCTGGAGCCTTCTCTTCTCCAGGGAAACCCCCCCAGCTCTCCCAGCCTGGCTCCATCCCTGAGTTAATCCCAACCCTGGAGAACCTCCCCTATTTGAAGGTGAGGTCTGAAGTGATTAAAGGGGGATCCAGGAAATCCTAATGCCACGTTCCACTTTCCAGTCAGCTGGGCCTCAGGGAGTTCCCAGTGGAGAAGAGGTGGAAGGGAATCTATGACCAGTTCCTGGAATTCCTCCAGTCTGGCTGCAAGGAAGAGATGGAAGAGTCTTTCACAGGGTTCCACATCCAAACCAGCAAGGAGCTGAGGAAATCTCAGGAATATCTCTTCTGCCAAAGGTAGGAATATTCCAGGGCCTCGTTGCCACAGAGGAACCCATTTAAATCAGGGTCTGATTGAAATCATGTTTTAAAGTCGTGAACTTGAGCATTTTCCAGTTGTTCCTTCTCATGAAGCAGGAGGAGGGATTTTACCCCTCAATTTAAAGTCGTGCTGTTGAGGTTGAGTCTGACAAGTGAAAAATTCATTCCTTCTAATTGTTTTATTGCCCCTTTGGAATCTACCTGTGATACCCACCTGGATTTATCCCAGAGCTTCCTTGTGGGAAGCTCACCTCTTTTTTCCTCCCTCACTTCTCATCCTTTCAGGGGGACTGAGGACGTATCCTGGAAAATTGAAGATATCCTTGAAGAGCTTGTCCAGCACCAGGAGCTGGAGTCGATACAGAGTTATTTAGAGAAGGTAAAAAGCTTAAAATAATCCAGGTTTGGCCACCAGACATGGACACAGGGCCGGGCAAATTGCTGTTAATTTGACAGCACATAAAACATGGCCAGAGGCTTCAAGAACTTCCCTAAATTATGTCAAGAACAGGCTTGTCCCTCATGCTCTTTGGCCACTCATTTTGTGCAGAGCTGTGGAGAAATCTTGGTTCTCCAGCTGCTGGAAATGATGTCACCTCTGGGCTTGTCCTCCTTTGCTGCCAGGAGGAGGCTGGGGGGCCTTTTGGGGTGTTTTCCTCCACTGATGGCAACGCCGACGTGTGGCATTGAATTTTCCCGCCTCCTGCAGGCGTTGAAGTCCTCCCTGCACCCTCTGGGCAAGCTGCTGAAGGCCCTGACAGTCGCTTTCCAGGCAACATATTCCGGGATCGGGGCCAACAGGCACCTGCTGACCATGGCACAGGAGGAGGTCAAGTACTACGCCAAGAAAATTTGGGAATTCTACCGGTGAGTCGAGCGGGTTGAGTCCTTCCAATGGGGAGGAGAACATTGGGATGGTGTTTACAGGGGATGTGCTTTAATCACATGTTTTTTGGGGGGAGGTGCTTCAGAATGGTGTTAAATTAAGAGTTATTTGCAATAACTGAGATCATATGGACCTGGAAAACCTTTATTATGGCTATTATGTGGTTATTATATGACCCAGGGGCTTTATTGGGAATCTCACTGAGCTGTGGCAGCTCAAGGAGCTGCTGCCCATAATAACACTTCATTTAGACGAATAGGAAGCAAAAAAACCTCCCTAAGAACTGAGGGCAGCAAAGTGTGTCAGGGCACACAGCAGGGGTGTGATATCCGTGTTTGAAGGAGAAATAGAATCCCAGAATGGTTTGGGTTGGAAGGGACCTTAAAGAGGATCCAGTGCCACCCCCTGCCATGGGCAGGGACACCTTCCACTAGCCCAGGTTGCTCCAACCTGGCCTTGGACACTTCCAGGGATCCAGGGGCAGCCACAGCTTCTCTGGACAACCTGTGCCAGGGCCTCCCCACCCTCCCAGCCAGGAATTCCTTCCCAATATCCCATCTATCTCTGCCCTCTGTCAGTTTGAAGCCATTCCCTGTGTCCTGTCCCTCCATCCCTTGTAAACAGTCTCTCTCCATCTTTCTTGTGGCTCCTTCAGGTCCTGGAAGGCCACAATTATTTCCTCCCAAAGCTTCTCTTCTCCAGGCTGAACAATCCCAGCTCTCCCAGCCTTTCCTCCCAGCAGAGCTGCTCCAGCCCTCGGATCATGTTGGTGCCTCCCTGGACTCTTTCAGGCAGCTCTGCAAGGAGGGGGTCTCACCTGAATTCCCCCCTCCCCAGCTGTGGGGTCATCCCAGGACACCACTGGCTTTCCAGGCTGCCAGAGCACATGGATGGGGCATGTCCAGCCCTTTTTCCACCAACAGCTTAAGCTCAGCAAGGCCCAACCCAGCAGGAGTTTAGGACGTGCAGCGTAAGCACGACATTGAGCTCGGCCTATGTGGGCAGAGATTACTCAACCATGTGGGTAATTAAGGCCTGTGGATCAGAATTAAGGCCTGGATCAAAGGCATCACTGGGATCCTGTTGCTCTTTGATTATCCCTAAAAAAAAAAAGGAGGGAGGGAACTAAACCTTGTTCCTGCTGCTCTTTCAGGGGTTTGCTCCATTTGGCACTGGAACAGAAAGGCCAACTGTCCCCAAGGGCTGTGGATGGAGACATGAGGTAGGTGTCACCACTGGGAATGTCATTCCAAGCTGTTTGGACAATGGGGTGTCTCCTAAAACACATCAGGTACTGAACTCTCTGTGTGGGTCCCTTTGGGGCAGGTTTAGTGCCCACACTTCCCTCAGGGTGCAAAGAGTTCAGGAGTTCTGCTTGAAGCAAGAAAACAACTTCTTCTACTCATGTTCTGGAGCAGAAGCCACTGGCAAAGGAGGGAGAAGATGTGTTGTTCCTAGAACAGGAAAGTGGGAATAATAGTGGGAGACACAGATTTGGGGTTTTTGGGAGTGAGAAGAAGCCTCTTTTCTCAGCTGTCCCTGTTTGGCCTGGATTTCTCTTTGAACCTGAAACCATTCCCATGGGGGCTGAACGAAGCCAAGAGGTTGGTGGCATTGTGGGCAGCTGGAAAAGGGCTGCAAGGGAATTTATTTGGGGCTTTTCCCTTAAGAAATAACAAATGCTCCACTGAAAAGAGCTCAGAAGGAAAAGCTGGAGATGAATTTCTGCTGAAAGAGCTCAGAAAGAAAAGCTGGAGATGAGTTTTTACTGAAAGAGCTCAGGAAGAAAAGCTGGAGATGAGTTTTTACTTAAAGAGCTCAGGAAGAAAAGCTGCAGATGAATTTCTGCTGAAAGAGCTCAGAAGGAAAAGCTGGAGATTGAGTTTCTCTTGAAAGAGCTCAGGAAGAAAAGCTGGAGATGAGTTTCTGCTCAAAGAGCTCAGGAAGAAAAGCTGAATTTCTACTGAAAGAGCTCAGAAAGAAAAGCTGGAGATGAATTTCTACTGAAAGAGCTCAGGAAGAAAAGCTGGAGATGAATTTCTACTGAAAGAGCTCAGGAAGAAAAGCTGGAGATGAGTTTCTGCTGAAAGAGCTCAGGAAGAAAAGCTGGAGCTGAATTTCTGCTGAGACAGCTCAAAAAGAAAAGCTGGAGATGAGTTTTTACTGAGACAGCTCAAAAAGAAAAGCTGGAGATGAGTTTCTACTGAAAGAGCTCAGAAAGAAAAGCTGGAGATGAGTTTCTGCTGAAAGAGCTCAGAAAGAAAAGCTGGAGATGAGTTTCTGCTGAAAGAGCTCAGGAAGAAAAGCTGGAGCTGAATTTCTGCTGAGACAGCTCAAAAAGAAAAGCTGGAGATGAGTTTTTACTGAGACAGCTCAAAAAGAAAAGCTGGAGATGAGTTTCTACTGAAAGAGCTCAGAAAGAAAAGCTGGAGATGAGTTTCTGCTGAAAGAGCTCAGAAAGAAAAGCTGGAGATGAGTTTTTACTGAGACAGCTCAAAAAGAAAAGCTGGAGATCGAGTTTCTCTTGAAAGAGCTCAGGAAGAAAAGCTGGAGATGAGTTTCTGCTCAAAGAGCTCAGGAAGAAAAGCTGGAGATGAGTTTCTGCTGAAAGAGCTCAGGAAGAAAAGCGGAATTTCTACTGAAAGAGCTCAGAAGGAAAAGCTGGAGATGAGTTTTTACTGAAAGAGCTCAGAAGGAAAAGCTGGAGATTGAGTTCCTCTTGAAAGAGCTCAGAAAGAAAAGCTGGAGATTGAGTTCCTCTTGAAAGAGCTCAGGAAGAAAAGCTGGAGCCAGGTCTCTGGTGCTCCAGGTTTCTCCCAGGGATGAAGGAAATCTTGTGGAGCTCTGTCCTATCCCACAGCACAGGATGCAGCAGGATCTCCAGCTGGGATGAGTGTCCTGGAGGTCACTCCAGCCCAGCTGGGACACTGAACTCGGGAGGGGGAAGGAGGGGAGAACAAGGAGAACACCTCGAGGTCTTGGAAGCTGCCTCTTCCCTCGTGTGCCGGGTGGTTTGGGGAATGTTTGAGGTTGGAATGTCACTGTAGGATTGTTTTTCTCTGCCCCAGTGACCAGAAGGCCTCCAGTGTGGTCCTGCCCCTGATCCTGCCCTGCTTCTACCCCGAGCTCTTCATGCTCTACATGCTGTACCACGAGAGGGAAGATGACCTGTACTGCCAGGGCATCGTGGACCTCAGCCTGTTCCCTGACATCAAGCTCCTGGAATTTCTGGATGTGCAGAAGTAAGTGGCGTTTTTCCATCCCTGGATACGTGGCTGGGATCCTGGGAAGGACCTGGAGCCTGTTCCTGGTCCGTCAGTGGCTGTAGCACTGAGGTTTTGTGCTGCCAGAGGAAATCCTGCCAGGAAGTGCCTGCCTGTCCTGGAAGGGCAGCATTGACTAGGGAAAAGCTGCAAATAGCTGGACTAATTTTAATTTTTGGCTGGAAAACCCTTTTATTACCTCAAAAAAAAAGCTTTGTTCCGACTTGGGACCGACCAGCCAGAGCTTATAAATGTGTCTTAGAAAGGGCAACAGTGGTGTCTGCTCTGAGAGTGGAGACACACAGACTCAAAAATGAGGAGTCAGGTGATCCCTTCAGCCATTCCTGCTGCTAAATCCACCTCTGGAATGGGATGTGGGGCCAAACTCCACCAGCTTTCCCACCACAGCATCATCTGCACCTCAGGGACACCCGGAGTGCCCGTTGGATTCAGTCTGGGCTCAGTGGGAGGAGTTGAAGCTGAAGGTTCCCAAACTCTCCCAAATTGATTATTTTCAGGAGAATCTCGGAGTAAAATCAACCCTTTGCCTGGATTAATGAGCCAAATTAATGAATAGTAATTATCCCTGGAGCAGTGGAGGTGGATTTAGGGCGGGCTCAGCCCTTCTCAATGTCTCTGTGATCTCCTTCCAGGCACCTCTGGCCTCTCAAGGATCTCACCCTGACGACCAACCAGGTGAGAAACATCCCGGAATTCCGGCTCTTCGGGATGGGATTGGGAATGTGGCGCGGGGCTGGAGCTTCCTTAGGGATCCATCACCTCCTTGGCAATTCCTTTGGGGCTGGGAGATGTTCCAAAGGCTCTGTGTCTCCTTTCCAGAGGCGCTCCCTGATCAAGGACAAGTGTTTCCTGTCGGCCACCGAGTGTTTGCAGAAGCTCATGTGAGTCCGGGAAATTTGGGATTTCATTCAATGTTGTTAATATAGACGGGGGAGAAAATTGAGCTAAAATGGAGGTAAAATTTAGATAAAATAGAGAGAAAATTGAGAGAAAATTCAGCTAAAAATCAGCTGAAATTTAGATGATATTTAGCTAAAATTTAGATAACATTTAGATAAAGTGTAGATAAAATTCAGCTAAAATTCAGCTAAAGTTTAGATAAAATTCAGTTAAAATTTAGCTGAAATTTAGCTAAAATTTCACTAAACTTTAGCTAAAATTCAGCTAAAATGTAGATAAAATTTAGCCAAAATTCAGCTAAAATTCAACTAAAATGTAGATAAAGTTCAGCTAAAATTCAGCTAAAACTTAGATAAAATGTCGATAAAATTCAGCTAAAATTCACCTAAAATGTAGATAAAATGTAGATAAAATTTAGCCAAAATTCAGCTCAAATTCAACTAAAATGTAGATAAAATTTAGCTAAAATTCAGGTAAAATCTAGCTAAAATTTAGATGAAATGTAGATAAAATTCAGCTAAAATTTAGATGAAATGTAGATAAAATTCAGTTAAAATTTAGATGAAATGTAGATAAAATTCAGCTAAAGTTTAGATAAAATATAGATAAAATTCAGCTAAAGTTTAGATAAAATATAGATAAAATTCAGCTGAAATTCAACTAAAATTTAGCTAAAATGTAGATAAAATTCACCTAAAGTTTAGATAAAATTGAGCTAAAATTCAGGTAAAATTTAGCTACAATTCAGGTAAAATTTAACTAAAATTCAGGTAAAATTTAGCTGAATTTCAGCTAAATTTCAGCTAAATTTCAGGTAAAATTCAGCTAAATTTCAGGTAAAATTTAGCTGAATTTCAGCTAAATTTCAGCTAAAATTCAGGTAAAATTTAGCTAAAATTTAGCTAAAATTCAGCTAAAATTCAGGTAAAATTTAGCTAAAATTCAGCTAAAAGTCAGGTAAAATTTAACTAAAATTCAGGTAAAATTTAACAAAAATTCAGCTAAAATTTAGCTGAAATTCAGGTAAAATTCAGGTAAAACTTAACTGAAATTCAGCTAAAATTCAGGTAAAATTTAGCTAAAATTCAGGTAAAATTGAGCTAAAATTCAGGTAAAATTGAGCTAAAATTCAGGTAAAATTGAGCTAAAATTCAGGTAAAATTGAGCTAAAATTCAGGTAAAATTGAGCTAAAATTCAGGTAAAATTGAGCTAAAATTCAGGTAAAATTGAGCGAAAATTCAGGTAAAATTGAGCTAAAATTCAGGTAAAATTGAGCTAAAATTCAGGTAAAATTGAGCTAAAATTCAGGTAAAATTTAGCTAAAATTCAGCTAAATTTAAGGTAAAATTGAGCTAAAATTCAGGTAAAATTTAACTAAAATTCAGGTAAAATTTAGCTAAAATTCAGCTAAATTTCAGTTAAAATTGAGCTAAAATTCAGGTAAAATTTAACTAAAATTCAGGTAAAATTTAGCTAAAATTCAGCTAAATTTAAGGTAAAATTGAGCTAAAATTCAGGTAAAATTGAGCTAAAATTCAGGTAAAATTGAGCTAAAATTCAGGTAAAATTGAGCTAAAATTCAGGTAAAATTGAGCTAAAATTCAGTTGCTGCCTGTGGAGTTGGGAGCCCCTTTGCCAGGGTTCTTTTCCCGCCCGCAGCACGACGGTGGATCCCAGGGAGAAGCTGCTGATCCTGCAGAAAACCTACGAGGAGCTGGAGGGCACCGTGGGCAGGGTGCTGGGCAAGGACTACAAACTGCCCATGGATGACCTGCTGCCCCTCCTCATGTACGTCGTGTCCAGAGCCAAGTACGTGGCACCTTCTCCTTTCCTGATCCTGCTGCTAAAAACTGGGATTTTGGGGATTTAATGGGCTTTTGCCTCAGCTTTTGGGTTTCTGTGGGTTGGGATCTGCCAGCTCTGCTGGGATGGGGTTGGCCAGCATGTAAAATGACTTCCTGAGTGTCCAGCTCTTATCCCAGAGGATAATAAAGGGTTTTCCTGGGAAATGGGGTCCTACAGGCCAAAGAATTCAAAGTAAAAACTGGGATTTGGGGTTTTAAGGGGCTTTTTCCTGAGCTTTTGGGTTTCTGTGTAACCCCAACCCAGCTGGTGTTGCCCAGAATATAGAGTGATTGGGGAATTCCTGAGTGTCCATCTCTTATCCCAGAGCATAATTCTGGGTTGTCCTGGGAAATGGGGTCTCACAGGCCAAAGACTTTAAGTAAAAACTGGGATTTGAGGATTTAATTTGCTTTTTCCTGAGCTTTTGTGTTTCTGTGGGTTGGGATCTGCCAGCTCTGCTGGGATGGGGTTGGCCAGGATATAAAGTGACTTCCTGAGTGTCCAGCTCTTATCCCAGAGGATAATTCTGGGAAATGGGGTCCTACAGGCCAAAGAATTGAAATTAAAAACTGGGATTTTGCGATTTAATGTGGTTTTTCCTGAGCTTTTGGGTTTCTGTGTAACCCTAACCCAGCTCTGCTGGGATGGGGTTGCCCAGGATATAAAGTGATTGAGGAATTCCTGAGTGTCCAGCTCTTATCCCAGAGGATAATTCAGGGTTGTCCTGGGAAATGAAGTCTCATTTTCCCACAGAAAACAGGGACATGGAGCTTCTGAAGGCTGATTTTTGGTGCCTTCAAGGCATCATCTCCCTCCTCCATCTCTTTTCCATTCTCTGCAGGGCACTGGGATCCAGTTTGGAGACTGGGAAGGTCTTGGCCGTGATATTTGTTAATTAGCCCATTAGATTAGAAGGTTATATTAATTATTAGAACCTCAGATTTGTTTTCCTGGCTGGAATGCCTGTGGGTGTGACACATTCCTGCCAGAGGCTTCCAGTGGAACTGCAGGAATTTGCCTCCATCCAGCCCAAGGAAACTGGATCTCCTGGCAAATTGGAGCCAAAATCCTTGGCTGATTGTCGAGGATTCCTGGATATGTTTGGCCTCCAAAAAAAAAAAAAGGGTGGAATATTTAAAATTTTTATATGGAATCTTAGAATTGTTAAGGAAAAGACCTTTAAGATCTTCAGTCAACTCATGTTCACCACTAATCATGTCCCCAAAGTGCCACATCCACGTGTTTTTGAACAATTCCAGGGATGTGATTCCACCACTGCCCTGGACAGTCTGTTCCAATGCTTGGCAACCTTTTCCATGGAGAAATTTTCCCTAATATCCAACCCCTGGAGCACCTTGAGGGTGTTTTTTCTCTTTTCCTGTCAGAATATCCCATGGCCGTGCTGGGTGAGGGAGGTTTTCTAAGGATCTTCCTGGACTGTAAATGAGATCAGGAGGGAATAAAAGAGGGAAAAATGAAGTTTTCTTATGCTGGAGCATCAATAAATTGTGGCTGCCCCATCCTTGGAAGTGTCCAAGGCCAGGTTGGAGCAGGCTGGGATAGTGGGAGGTGTCCCTGGATGATCCTTAAGGTCCCTTCCAACCCATTTGTCCAAACTGGGACCTTTTCCTTCCCTAGAATCCAGCACCTGGGAGCTGAAATCCATCTGATCAGAGACTTGATGGATCCCACCAACCAAGGAGGAATGTTTGACTTCCTGCTGACAGCACTGGAGGTGAGGGAATTTTTTTCCACTTGCAGCAAAGCTGGGCTGGGATGGAATTTTAGGGGCTGGTTTTGTGCCTGGAACAGGAGTTGATTTTCCCAAACAATCGGGAGAATATCCTTATCCTTCACTGACAGCAGATTTAATCCTGAACTTGGGAGCAGCACAGCTTCTTTGGCTGCAAGAGCCCTTATTTTGGCCCCAGAGTTCCCAAATTTTAGCCCCAAAGTTGCCAGATTTTAGCCCCAAAGTTCCCAGATTTTGGCTTCAAAGCTGCCAAATTTTGCCCCCCATGTTGCCAAATTTTGGCCCCAAAGTTGTTAAATTTTGGCCCTGAGGTTCTCCAGTTTTGACCCCAACATTCCCAACTTTTGACCCCAACATTCCCAACTTTTGGCCCCAAAGTTCCCCAATTTTGGCCTCGAACTTGCCAAATTTTGGCCCAAGCTGCCAAATTTTGCCCCTGAAAGTTGTCAGATTTTGGCCCCAAAGTTGCCAAATTTTGGCCCCAAGGTTCTCAAGTTTTGGCTCCAGTTCCCAAAATTTGCCCCAAAGTTCTCAAATTTTGGCCCCAAGTTCTCCAGTTTTGGCCTCAAAGCTGCCAAATTTTGGCCCCAAAGTTGCCAACTTTTGTCCCCAAAGTTCCCAAAATTTGCCCCACAGTTGTCAAATTTTGGGCCAGAAGTTCTCAAATTTTGACCCCAACATTCCCAACTTTTGGCCCCAGAGTTCTCCAATTTTGGCCTCAAACTTGCCAAATTTTGGCCCCGAGCTGCCAGATTTTGGCCCCAAAGTTGCCAAATTTTGGCCCCAAGGTTCTCAAGTTTTGGCCCCAAAATTGCCAACTTTTGGCCCCAAAATTCTCAAATTTTGGCCCTGAATTTGTCAATTTTTGTCCCTAAATTCCCAACTTTTGTCCCCGAGTTCCCAAATTTTGTCCCTGAGTTCCCAACTTTCTCCTCACTCCCTTGTTCTGCTCCTTCCCAGTCGTGCTACGAGCACATCCAGAGGATGAGGCTCCACCCGAGGGAGAACTGCCCCCTGCCTCCCAGCTCCTGAGCCCCAGGATCCCAAGGGAACGTCCTTCCCGCTGCACTTTCCTGCTGGATGAGGAATCCCTCGTGTCCCTGCTGCTCTGGCTGCCTTTCAAAGGGAAGAATTCTTGGATCAGCTGCGGGTTTCCTTGGAATAACCCTGCTCCTAAAGCACACGCGGGGGTGCCGATGGATAAAACCCTTCGCTATCCAACCTCAGCTGGTGGTTGGGAATCTCTTCCCGAGTGGAAAAGGTTTCTTTTGGCCCTGGGGTTTCGTTTTCCTTGTCCTGCAAATCCCAGGGAGCTCCTTTCCCTGCTCTGGTGAACGGACAGAAAGGAGAAGGGTTTATTGGAGAGAAACCACAGGAATTCGGGTGGGACCATTTCTGGTTGGAGAGGTCACCCCCACATTCCTAAAAAATCCATTCCTGGAGGGCAGAGGGGGTTTCTCCACTCCTCTTCCTCCCTGGGCTAAACTCAGGACCTGTCCATGGCATTTGAAAGCTGCTATTCCCCAATTCCCATGGTTTTAGGAGACTAAAAGATGTGGATTTATTGAAGCCTCAGGGAATGTCACACCCGCACCTTGGATCTGCTCCTGCTGCTCTGGAATTCTGCAGGGATTTCCCGTGGGCTTGGAAGAAAAGGAATGTTGGTCTGGGGGGAGAAATCCCAACTCCTGGGAAGAGAAAACATGCAAACACCTGGTTTTCCTGCTGCTTTTCCGAGGAGATTTGTGCTGACAGACCCCCCTAGACACCAAAATCAGGTTGGGATTTAGCCTTCCTTTGGAAAATCAAAGGGATATTTGGGATTTTTTGTCCCTCCCAGTCCCGTGTGAGGTGTATTTGGAGAGGTTTCGACACAGATTTTAACCTGCTTGTTTTTTTAAATTATTTTTTAAAGTTTGACTCTGAATTAATTGTCCAGGTAACTAATGAACTATCCAGGCAAAACACAAGCTCTTGGCTCCTGTTTCTCACATGGATTGATGCTTTAATAAATAATAACACTGATTACAAGAATTAATATATTGGGATGAGAGTCTCCTACTGGATGTATTTAAATAAAGCTGGTTGGAAATTTGAAGGGAGATTCCAGGCTTGCCTCCTCCTTATCCCAATCTCTTTGCTGCCTTCAAGCATTTGGGAATTTGCTTGGATTCGTTGGTTTTTAGTGCTCATTCTTGGGAATGAAGGGATTGGAAGTGCCAAATCTGGATCCATAAATCTCATTTTACGTGGTTTTAACCACCAGTGTCACAACATGCAGGAATGCAAGGCCCAAAAACGTGCTTTTCCTACCAAAAACCAGGATTGGCAGCTGGGAATCCTTGTCCCTCACCTTTAGGAAACGTCCCTTTCCTCGTTAAAAAGGAGGAAAACTCCAGCTTGAGTTTTGGAGAATGGAAAGAGCCCCGAGGACCAGGCTGTGAAATTGGAATTGTGGAGCTGCTTAAAACTGGTGCTTTTCCAACCTCCTGCCAGAAGGTTGGAGCACTGGGATGGTTTGATCCAAAATAAAAAAAGAAAATGCTGTTTTCTCCACGTTTTTTTCCATGCTCTGGGTGAGGAGTTTTTCATTCCAGGTACCACTTGCTACTCAAAAATGCAGATTTTTTTTTTTATTTCTACTAGAAAAAGGACATGCAAAAAGTGCATGCGAGTACAAACCCAGGGAATTATCTAGAAAACGAGGGAATTCTCAGCCTACTCCGGGTTTCTGCTGTTGCACTTCCTAAAAATACAGTTTGTAGCTGCTTTTCCTTGGGGGGGAAAAAAAAAATTGAGGAAGTTCTTGAGCAAGAATTCAAGTGAGCCCTAAAGTGGTAACAGTGTGCAGCCATTTGTGCTTCTCTGGAAGAGCTAGAGGGAGGTTTCCCCGGGAATATTTGGGCATTCCAGTTGGGAATTGTGCTGTTGGAACCATGCAAAGGGCTTGGTTGGTGTGTGCCCACCACAGTGGAGCAGCTGAGAGGAGGCTCCTGGCTGACTTCCCTGATCAAAGAAATCCCTGCTGTGCCTTGGAATTGTGGGTGGGAATGTGGGAGTGCATTCCAATTCCTCCTTTTCAGCTTGGGGGAAAAGGGGTGGGGGGGGGGGTCACATGCTTAATTAATAGTGCTCTAATTGCAATCAGGGCTCCAGTGTCTTAATTAGGATGTTAAATTTAACCCTGGAGCTGTTGGAGGGCTGATTCCACCTGAGAATTCCAGCTTTGGAGGACACAAGTAGAGCCAGCACTTCCAGGCTCCAGCTCAGGCTTCCAAGGGAGCAAACTAGCTCAAATTCCCTAAAAAAAAAAAAGAAGGAAAAGATAAGCTGAGCTGCACCTGGAAGCCTTCAAATCATGGAGCTGTGAGGAGACAAAGCAGAGCTGGAGTGCAGCTTTGCTCTTGGAAGCACAGGGAATTTGGTTATCCACAGGGAACTTCTGTCCCCCTTCCCTGACTGGGAAGAAAATCCTGCCAAGATTTGAGGGGGGTTTTCCTTTATCTGGGATTGTTTTTTCCCCTCCTCCATCCAATGACTCCCAAACGAACGTAGGGAAGCTCTTTGTGCTTCAGCCGGTGACCGGGGGAGGAGGAACCTTCTCCAAAGCCTTTGGGAAAGGTTGGTTTTCCCAAAGAACCCAGGGACTGGGAAGTCAGAGCAGGGCTGTATCTATGGCAGCTTTGAGGTGGTGCAGCAAAGCCTCGGGAGGGGGGGAGAGGGAGGTCAGATCCAGCTTCTTGAAATCCTCGTTGGCGCTCAGCGACGTCAAGACCTTCACCGTCCTCTTGAGGTCGAACACGGCGTGGAGCATTCCCAGGGTGGAAATGGCAGCCTTGGAAGTGTTCTTGGCCAAAGCCTCGTCATCCAGGCCCTTTTCCAAGACGGAAATCCTGTTCTCTGCAATGACTTTGAGGAAGTTGTAGAACTCCTTGTAGTCGATGCCCGTGCAGGACTTCATGATCAGCTAAAATCGGGGAGGGATTGAAATGGAAATAACACTGAAAATTCCAGGGGAAAACATCACCAAATCATGTTATAATTGTCTGGAATCATAAATCATTGTGTTTCATAGAATTCCAGGATGGTTTGAGTTGGAAGGGACCTTAAGGATCATCCAGTGCCACCCCTACCATGGGCAGGGACAACTTCCATTATCCCGGGTTGCTCCAGCCTGGCCTTGGACACTTCCAGGGATCCAGGGGCAGCCCCAGCTTTCCAGTCAAAATTCCAAAAATCAGATTTTATCAAGGTAATAATTATATGGGATCATAAATGATTATATTTAATCATTTTTGGTGATCTGTGTTTGAAGTGTCACCGGCCCCAAAACCAACGGCCTGATTTTAATCAGGACTGAATTGCTGTGTTTTCCAAGGAGTTCTGGAGGAAATCCATCCAGGAACAGCCTCCAGAAATAAGCTTTGCATTTGTTTCATGGCAAAGATTTTGGGAGGGAAGGAATTCTTTCCCAGCCAGAGCCAGGAGAGCACCCAAGGTACAACCCTGCTCAGCAGAAATATGGGCTCTTAAAGCATCAATTTGCAGACATAGAAAATTCCCCTAAATTATCCTTGTTTTAAATTCACTGTTTCATAGAATTCCAGGATATTTTGAGTTGGAAGGGACCTTAAGGATTATCCAGTCCCACTCCTACCATGGGCAGGGACACCTTCCACTGGCCCAGGTTGCTCCAACCTGGCCTTGGACACTTCCAGGGATCCAGGGGCAGCCACAGTTTCTCTGGGAAATCCATCCCAGTCCCTCCCCACCCTCACAGCCAACATTCCTTCCCAACATCCCATCTAAATTTATCCTCTTTCAGCTTAAAGCCATTCCTTGTGTCCTGTCCCTCCATCCCTTGTCCCCAGTCCCTCTCCAGCTCTCCTGGAGCCCCTTTAGGCCCTGCAAGGGGCTCCAAGGTCTCCCTGGATCCGTCTCTTCTCCAGGTGAACCCCCCCAGCTCTCCCAGGAATAGTCTTGAAAGGAGAAGTTGAAGGAGAGCAGTTGAAACATTTGCTTTCCAAACAACATCCCAACCAGGACATACCAAATATCCTCTGGCACAAGCCATTCCCAAGCTTATTAAGGGAATGTTTTGACTTCCTGCAAAATCAAGCTGCCACCAGTCCCTAATTCTTTAGGAAACACGTAAATTCCAGGTAGGAAGGGAAGGAATTCTGTGTCTCAGAGTGCTAATAAGTGACACAATAAATCCCTGGAATATCTGATCCCTTTGGAGAGTGAGATCCATGTTGTACCTGGCACTGGAGGTGCCAGTCATCCATAGGATCCTTCCACTGGTTGATCTCCCTCTGGACAGCTGCCAGTTCATCCTGCAGGAAGCACCACATGATGGCCACGTTGCAGCCGTTCACCCAGTTGTGGTTGATGGAGATGGTGTCCTCCTGAGGGAATAAATCATGGAATCATGGAATCAGCTGGGTTGGAAGGGACCTCCGAGATCATCCAGTCCAACCCTTGATCCAACCCCGCCGTGGTTCCCAGCCCATGGCACTGATGCCACATCCAGTCTGTCCTTAAACACCAACAGGGATGGAGAATCCCCCTCTTCCCTGGGCAGCCCATTCCAATGGCTGAGCACCCTCTCTGCAAAGAAATTCTTCCCAATGTCCAACCTAAACCTCCCCTGGCACAGCTGCAGACCCAGCCCTCTTGTCTTGCTGATGGTTGCCTGGGAAAAGAGACCAACCCCCCCCTGGCTCCCCCCTCCTGTCAGGGAGTTGCAGAGAGTGAGGAGGTCTCCCCTGAGCCTCCTCTTCTCCAGGCTGAGCCCCCCCAGCTCCCTCAGCCTCTCCTCACAGCACTTGTGCTCCAGTCCCTTCCCCAGCCTTGTTGCTCTTCCCTGGCCCTGCTCCAGCCCCTCCATGTCCTTCCTGAGCTGAGGGCCCAGAACTGGACACAGCACTCCAGGGGTGGCCTCCCCAGCGCTGAGTCCAGGGGCAGAATCCCTTCCCTGGCCCTGTTGGCCACCCTGTTCCTGAGCCAGGCCAGGATCCATTGGCCCTCTTGTCCCCCTGGGCACACTCGGGCTCCTGTTCAGCTCCCTGGCCATCCCCACTCCCAGCTCCCTTCCTGCCTGGCTGCTCTCCAGCCCCTCTGGCCCAGCCTGGAGCTGCCGGGGGTTGTTGTGGCCAAAGGGCAGGACCCGGCCCTTGGCCTGCTTGAACCTCATCCCGTTAATCTGCTGCCTGATGAGCAGTTTGGTGCCAGGGGTCTCACCAGGTTGTAAACCTGGTGGTGCCATCCACTGGGAATGAAGACAATCTCTCCTGCTTCCTGAACGATCTCCACGGGGGGTTGGCTTTGGCTGTAGCGAGGGTACACCCTCCTGTCCTGCAGGCTGGGGGCAGTCACGTCGAAGGGTAGGTTGCCGTGTCTGTCCTTCAGGAATTCCTCCTGTCCTGCTGGATACAGCAGCCACTTCTTCCTGCCACAGATGTTTGCTGACCAGCTGTAGGAGCGGAACACGTCGGCATGGAACGGTGTCCTGGGGGAAAAACAGAGGTTGGAGTGAAGGCAGAGCCAAAACACTTTAATGTAAATCCTAAAAACACCAAGAATCTGGGACATTGAGCCCTTTTCTTCCTGGAATTTTGGCTGGTTTAAGTTGTTTATCTACAGATTTATCTGTATCTCCATAGTGTCGAGTGTTTCCTGTCAAATCCAGTGTTTGTCTCTCCAATCCCTCCATTTGTGGGATATTCTGGGATGGAGACTGCAAATGCCACTTAATAACTGAGGCCAGGTTGGAATTTTCACCTGCAGAACATCTGAGTCCCGAGGGAAAAACAGAGGTTTAAGGAAAGGCAGAGCCAAAACACTTTAATGTAAATCCTAAAAACACCAAGAATCTGGGACACTGAGCCCTTTTCTTCCTGGAATTTTGGCTGGTTTAAGTCGTTTTCTCTATCTACAGATTTATCTGTATCTCCTTAGTGTCGAGTGTTTCCTGTCAAATCCAGTGTTTGTCTCTCCAATCCCTCCATTTGTGGGATATTCTGTGGGATATTCTGGGATGGGAACTGCAAATAACTGTCATTAATTCCGGGCTGGAATTTTCACCTGCAGAACATCTGAGTCATCGGTGCCTCCACGAGGCTTCTGCTGACCCTGCAAATCACAAGTGGCTGATGATCCCAAGGGAATTCCTGCTCCAAATCCTTAAATAACCTGGGTTTGGGGTGCACAATTCAAGGCTTTTCCTGTGGCTGATGCAGGAGTTCAGCTCACAAACAGAGACGAGCTGCCTGGGACGGATCCAGGCAGATCACTGGACTCTGCAGCGTGGTGAGATCCCGAAGGATAACGTGATAATTCCCTGGAATATTAACCTTCAAAATGGGTGTCTAAGGATGACAGAGAGGCCATTTCCTTACCATGAGCCCTTGGGTCCCATGTAGACAAACCTATAATCGTCCACAGCCACAGCATCCCAGTACTCGTTGAGCCAGTCGGAGGAGAAGTACACGGGAGTCGTGTAAACATCCTGCTCTGGGAAAGCCCTGGGAAAGGGAAAGGGTTGGAAAGGGGGCTCAGGAATATGTGGCATTGCTACCTCTCCCTTATGTCCAAAATCTCGATCCAAAGACCGATCATCCTGGATTAAGAATCATGGAATGGGCTGAGTTGGAAGGGAGCTTAAAGATCATCCCTGCCATGGGCAGGGATGCTTCCCACCATCCCAAGTTGCTCCAACCTGGCCTTGGACACTTCCAAGGATCCAGGAGCAGCCACAGCTTCTCTGGGCAACCTGTGCCAGGGCCTCCCCACCCTTCCAACCAGGAATTCCTGCCCAATATCCCATCTATCCCTGCCCTCTGGCAGTGGGAAGCCATTCCCCCTTGTCCTGTCCCTCCATGCCTTGTCCCCAGTCCCTCTCCAGCTCTCCTGGAGCCCCCTGAGGCACTGGATGACCATCCCCAGCCATGGTTCCATGTGGGATCACGTTCATGGAGTCATGGAATTCTACAAGGGTTTGAGTTGGAAGGGATCTTAAAGATCATCTCATTCCACCCCCTGCCATGGGCAGGGACACCTTCCACCATCCCAGGTTGCTCCAACCTGGCCTTGGACACTTCCAGGGATCCAGGAGCAGCCACAGCTTCTCTGGGAAATCCATTCTGGGGCCTCCCCACACTCACAGCCAGGAATTTTTTCCCCATATCCCAGCTAAATTTATCCTCTTTCAGCTTTAAGCCATTCCCTGTGTCCTGTCCCTCCATCCCTTGTCCCCAGTCCCTCTCCAGCTCTCCTGGAGCCCCTTCAGGCCCTGCCAGGGGCACTCAGCTCTCCCTGGAGCCTTCTCTTCTCCAGGTGAACTCCTCGAGCTCCCCTAGCCAAGAATTCCTTCCCACTATCCCATCTATCCCTGTCCTCTGGCAATGGGAAGCCATCCCCCCTTGTCCTGTCCCTCCAGGCCGTTGTCCGGAGTCTCTCTCCATCTTTCTTGGAGCTCCTCCAGCTCCTGGAAGGCCACAACCAGTTCCCCCAGGAACAATCCCAAGAGAATCCCAAATCCCTGAGCCTCAGGAGCTGGGCACTGAGGGCACTGCAGAGCTCCCACCTGCTGAGGTGCCAGTCCTTGAGGTAGAGGCAGCCCCGGGAGGAGCGGTAGCCGTTCCGGATGTATTCCTGCCAGTACTTCACGTAGTCCTTGAAGGGCAGCTGCTCCTTGGGGTTGGAATTGTATTCCTTCATGTCACAGTTGGCCACGGGCACCACGGCCTCGCCTGGAAAACACAACCACCCTCAGGGCAGGGCAGGAGGACAGATCACCCTCAGAGACCTTCAAAGGTTCCCAAAGATCCAGAGGAACAATCCCTATCCCAGGATCAGCATTCCAGGCAAACGGGACCCAAAATCGGGATTGATTTATTTAATGCCACCTGAATTTTCCAGTTATTTCTTGAATGTGACCCAACTTTTCCTGTTATTTGGTGACAGGCACCACGGCCTCTCCTGGAAAACACAACCACCCTCAGGGCAGGGCAGGAGGACAGATCACCCTCAGAGACCTTCAAAGGTTCCCAAAGATCCAGAGGAACAATCCCTATCCCAGGATCAGCATTCCAGGCAAACGGGACCCAAAATCGGGATTGATTTATTTAATGCCACCCGAATTTTCCAGTTATTTCTTGAATGTGACCCAACTTTTCCTGTTATTCCACGGCTTCTGCTGGAAAACACAACCACCCTCAGGGCAGAGCAGAAGGACCACGTCACCCTCAGGGACCTTCAAAGGCTCCCAAAGACCTGGAGGAACAACCCCTATCCCAGGATCAGCATTCCAGGCAAACGGGACCCAAATTGGGATTTATTTATTTAATGGCACCTGAATTTTCCAGTTATTTCTCCAATGTGACCCAATTTTGCCTGTTATTTATTTAAAATGACCTGGATTTTCCTTTGAAACTCCACTAGAAGTGGGGTACTGATGCTATTAAATATTTATATATACATAGGTTTAGATCTATCTTTATATAGATATATATGTATGCTTAGAAAATATATATTTTATATATATTATTATATATGTATGTCTATAAAATATATATTTATATATACTATTACATATGTATGTATATAAAGTACATATTTATATTTAATTATATATGTATGTCTATAAATATAAATATATATTTATGTATTATGTATATATATTTAATATATATATGTAATATTATTACATATATATAAAACATATGTACATATATACATATTATATATATTATACACATGTAATATGTATATATTATACATATATAATATAGATATTATTACATATGTATATAAAATATATATTTATATATATTATTACATATGCATCTCTATAAAATATATATTTATGTATATTATTACATATGTATCTCTATAAAATATTTATCTATATATTATTACATATATATGTATATAAAATATATATGTATATTATTATATAAGTATGTCTATAAAATATATATTTGTATGTATTATATATGTGTAAAATGTATATTTTATATATATTATTAATATGTATATAACATATATTTACATATAATTATATATAACATTTTTATGCATTATACTTAAATATATATGTTATTATTTTAATATATATTATATATAATATATTATATATATAAATATATATATAATATATATATAAATAATATATAAACATATGTAAAAATATGTATTATTAAAGGCACATTAACTATTTAAGTATATTAACTAATATATATAATTTAATAGAAATATATTAACTATAATAAATATCTTAACTAACTTGTTAATAATTAACTAATGGCTATTCTAATTAGTCATTCTTTAAAAAGATTAGGCCTATTATTTCCAAATATTATTTTTATATTGAGTAGAAATATTATTGTTTATATTACTTGGAATGTACATGTTCACTTTTATGTATTTATTATTTATTTTATATAGAAATTTTACATATGATACAATATCTATATATTTACCTATATTATAGATAGACATTATATTAGTTATTATTTATAATTATTCAATCTATTAATATTTTAGAGAGATTTTACTGTGACTACAGAACCTTTTCCCCTTTCCTGAGGGAATTTTCAGGCTGTTCCTCTGGTTAATGTGAAGCAGGGGAAGAAATTGGTGTGGTTAAATTATAAAAGGGGTTTTTTTTTCAGTTATTTTATTGTGGAATTAAATTTGGGATTGGAATCTGCGAACCAAAATGTGAATAAATCTCCAAAAGTATAAATAGAATAGTTATGTGGTTAAGATTAAATATATTGTAGTTATTAAATATAATAAATGTGAGATAAGGAGAGAAAAAGTATCAATTAATAAGGGAAACGAGGGGAAAAGTATCAATATAAAAATATGATAAGTAGGGGGAAGTATCAATCTAAGAAGGAAAAAGGAGAGGAAAAATATCAATTAAATAAGGAAAAAGAGAGGGAAAGTGGAGGAAAAAAAGGAGAAAAAAAGGAGAAAAGGAAAAATAATAAGGAAAAATAATAAGGAAAAATAATAAGGAAAAATAATAAGGAAAAATAATAAGGAAAAATAATAAGGAAAAATAATAAGGAAAAATAATAAGGAAAAATAATAAGGAAAAATAATAAGGAAAAATAATAAGGAAAAATGGAGAAAAGATGGAGAAAAACAGAGAAAAAGGGAGAAAAATAATAGAGAAAAACAGAGAAAAGTGGAGAAAAAAATTGAAAATAATAGAGAATAATGGAGAAAAAAAGAGAAAAATGGAGAAAAATTGGAAAAATTTGGAGAAAAAAATGGAGAAAAATAATGGAGAAAAATTGGAGAAAAATAATAGAGAAAAACAGAGAAAAATGAGAATAATAGAGAAAAAATAGAGAAAAATGGAGAAAAATCGGAGAAAAATAATAGAGAAAAATGGAGAAAAATAATAGAAAAAATAGAGAAAATGGAGAAAAATTGAGAAGAAAAGTGGAGAAAAGTGGAGAAAAAATATTGGGGAAAAGGTGGGGAAAAGGTGGGGAAAAGGTGGGGAAAAGGTGGGGAAAAGGTGGGGAAAAGGTGGAGAAAAGGTGGGGAAAAGGTGGAGAAAAGGTGGAGAAAAGGTGGAGAAAAGGTGGAGAAAAAAATGAAAAAATAATAGAAAATAATAGAGAAAAGTGGAGTAAAGGTGGGGAAAAGTGGAGAAAAAATTGAAAAAATAATAGAAAATAATAGAGAAAAGTGGAGAAAAGGTGGGGAAAAGTGGAGAAAAAACCTGAAAAAAATAACAGAGAATAATAGAGAAAAGTGGAGAAAAGTAAAGAAAAGGTGGAGAAAATTAATTTTAATTTAGGAAAAAAAATAAAAAGGTTGGAGAACTGCTTTTGTTTCTGGTCCCACTCCTAAAATCAGCTGAAGTCAAAGGTGTGTCAGGGAGGACTCACCAAACTTCTGCAGCAGATGCTCAAAGTTGGGCTTCCCATCCCGGGTGACCCAGTTCCTCCTGCTGCCCCAATCCTCGGTGAACTTGGCTGAGAAAATACAGGGCTGGTTGGGAATCAAATAATCCCGGAAAAAATCCGAGTACGTGAAGGAATCGACTCTCTCAATGAAGTCAACGTGACCCCCGGGAAGGCCTGGAGCAGCCTGGGATGAGGGGCTGCAGTCATGGAAAAAGGCAGTGGAACAGGCAAAGGTTGCCCTGTCCATGCAGGCTGGATGCAATTCCTGGCTTAGCCAAGAAAGGCTGGATGCAATTCCTGGCTTAGCCAAGAAAGGCTGGATGCAATTCCTGGCTTGGCCAAGAAAGGCTGGATGCAATTCCTGGCTTAGCCAAGAAAGGCTGGATGCAATTCCTGGCTTAGCCGAGCAGATTCCGTTCTCCCACGGCAAAAATAAAACGGGATTGGAGTCTCTAAATCTGGGAAAACTCACGGCAAAGGAGAGGGAAAACAGGGAGTGGTGCAGGAGCATCCCAGCAGGGCGGGATAATTGGGATCTTCCATAGTTTGTGGAGGTCAGATGGGGTGGGATGGCTGGCAAGAGGCACCCTGGGGATGGTGAAGGTGCTGCTTGTCCCTTGTCACCTTCTTGCCAGGGCTGGTTCCTTCCTGGAACAGCAGAGACATTAAAATCAGTGGGATATTCCTGATAAATTCATTAATTGAAGGGATGGAGGGAAGGAAACCCCCTAAATATTTGGGAAAGTGATCGTAGTGGGATCATCCCTTTGTTGGAACATACAAGCTCTGGCACCTCTCCCCTTCCCCAGACCTTTTTCTCAGGATCTGGCAGCAATCATCCTAAAAATAAGGGGGATAATAGGGAATAATAGGAATAAAAAGGAGGGAAGGGGGAAAACTGAGCCCAGAGGGGAAGAGAGGGCAAATAAATCACATGGGATGTAGGGCTGGGATTGGGGAGACACTGAGGGTGAAGGGGGGGATAAAGGGGCTCCAAGGGAATACAACAGTGGGATTAAGGGTTCTCCATGATTGGATTCCAAGGGAACACCAGGACACCACAGCAGGATGAAGTGTTTTCCATGAGGGAATTCTAAGGGAACACCCGAACACCACAGTGGGATTAAGGGGCCTCCATGAGGGAATTCCCCCCTCACGGAGCCCCAAGGGAACACTAAAATGGATTAAGGAGCCTTCATGAGGGGATTTCCCCTCCCAGAGCTCCAAGGGGATACTTCAGTGGGATTAAGGGACCTCCAGGAGGGATTTCCAAAGGAACACCTGGACACCACAGCAGGATTAAGGGACCTCCTTGAGTAAATTTTCCCCTCCCTGATCTCCAAGGGGACACTCCAAGGGATTAAAGGACCTCCATGAAGAAATTACTCCCTCCCAGAGCTCCAAGGGAACACCACAGTGGGATTAAGGGTTCTCTATAAGAGGATTCCAAGGGAACACCAGGACACCACAGCGGGATTAAGGGGCCTCCATGAGGGAATTCCCCCCTCACGGAGCTCCAAGGGAACGCTCCAAGGGATTAAGGGACCTCCACGAGGGAATTCCCCCTCATGGAGCCCCAAGGAAACACTAAAATGGATTAAGTAGCCTCCCTGAGGGGATTTCTTCTCCCAGAGTTCCAAGGGGATACTTCAGTGGGATTAAGGGACCTCCAGGAGGGAATTTCAAGGGAACACCTGGACACCACAGTGGGATTAAGGGACCTCCAGGAGGGAATTCCCCCCTCACGCAGCTCCAAGGGATTAAAGGACCTCCATGACGGGATTCCCCTTCCCGGACCTCCCAGCTGGGGGGGGGGGGCACCCGGACACCACAGCGCGTCGCACACCCCATCCTCACATCGCGCTGCCGCTCCACCCGCCCTCCCGCTTCCCGCCGAGGCTCCGAGCCCACAGAGGGAGCGATACTCACCCGCACCCCCCGCGGGACATCCCTCCGGAGCGAGCGGTGGCGGCAGCGGGGACGGCGACGGGGCGACGGGGCGACGGCGGGCGCGGCCGGAACCTCTGCGCGGGGCGGGCGGGGTGGGGGGGGAGGCGAAAAGGGGAGCGCAGCGGCGCGGGGCTCGGCCAATGGGAGCGCGCGGTGTGCGCAGGCGCGGAGCGGGGCCGGGGCCGCGCCGAGGGAGGTGCGAGAGGGGAGGGGGGGAAGGAACGGGGGGGTCTGGGGGCTCGAACCGGGGACGGGGGGGTCCGACCGGGGGGCTACGGCCCGGGCGGGACTCCCACCGCGGCCGAGGGGGGCACGAACCGGGGCGGCTTCGAAATGGGGCCGGGGGGGAGCTCGGGTTGGAGCTGGGGGTGGAGGTGGGGTTGGGGGGATTCGAACCGGGGTCGGAGGGGCTCCGGCCGGGGCTGGGGGGGTTGGAATTGGGGCTGGGGAGCTCCGAAGTGGGGTTGGGGGGACTCGAATTTGGGCTGGGGGGAGCTGGAATTGGGGTGGGGGGGGTTAAATTGGGGCTAGAGGGGGTTAAATTGGGGCGGGGGGGTTAAATTGGGGCTGGGGGGGTAAATTGGGGCTGGGGGGAGCTGGAATTCGGGCTGGGGGGGCCTCCGATCAGTGCTGGGGGGGCCTCCGATCAGTGCTGGAGGGGCTCGAATTTGGGCGGTGGGTGGAGGGAGGGACTTGAAATGGGGCTGGGGGGGTTCGAACCGGGGCCGGGAGGACTCGAACTGCGCCGGAGGGCTCCGAGTTCGAGTCGGGGGGGCTCGAATTGGGGCTTGAACCGGGGGAGTTCGAACCGGGGCGGCTTCGAAATGGGGCCTGGGGGGGAGCTCGGATTGCGGCGGGGGGGTGGGGTCTGGAATTGGGGCTGGGGGCTCTGAAATGGGGCTGGGGGGCTCTGAAATGGGGCTGGAGGGACTGGAATTTGGACTGGGGGGGCTGGAATTTGGACTGGGGGGACTGGAATTTGGACTGGGGGGACTGGAATTGGGGCTGGGGGGAGCTGGAATTGGGGCTGGGAGGGGTTAAACTGGGGCTGAGGGGGGTTGAATTTGGGCGGGGGGGGTCGAATTGGGGCTGGGAGGCTCCAAATTGGGGCGGGGGGGGGTCCTAAAATGGGCCGGGGGCTCCGAATTGGAGCGTGGGGGGCTTGAATTTTGGCTGGCGGGGGGGCTCTGGCTGGGGGCCAACGGGGACTTGAACTGGGGCCGGGGGGGCTGGAATTGGGGCTGGGGGGACTTGAACTGGGGAGGCTCCAAATTGGGGTGAGGGAGAATGGAATTGTGGCCTGGAGGGGCTCGAATTGGGGCTGAGGGGAATGGAATTGGGGCTGAGGGGAATGGAATTGGGGCTGGGGGGCAGCTGGAATTGGGGCTGGGGGGCAGCTGGAATTGGGGCTGGGGGAGGAGCTTGATTGGGGCTGGGGGGACTTGAAATGGAGAGGCTCCAAATTGGGGCCGAGGGGGAATGGAATTGTGGCCTGGGGGGGAGCTGGAATTGGGGCTGGGGAGGAGCTGGAATTGGGGCTGAGGGGGAGCTGGAATTGGGGCTGGGAGGACTTGAACTGGGGAGGCTCTGAATTGGGGCTGGGGGGGGAATGGAATTGTGGCCTGGAGGGGCTCGAATTGGGGCTGAGGGTCTTGGCCAGGGGCTGGGGGGAGGAGGGGGAAGGCAGGGAGGGGGTGGAGGTCTGGCTTAGGCAGGAGCAGGGATTTGGGGAGGACATTTGTGGCAGGGGAGGGATGGATGGGATGTCCCCAGGGCTCAGGGGGAGCCCAGTCCTGTTTGATGTCCCTGTCACTGCTCTGGGTGGGGGGATCCAGGGCACCCTCATGGATAACACCAGGTTGGGTGGGATGTGGATCTGCTGGAGGGCAGGAAGGCTCCACAGAGGGATCTGGGCAGGCTGGATCCATGGGATCCATGGGCCAAAGCCAACGGGGTGTCAAAAGGACCAAGTCCTGGGTGACAACAACCCCATGGAATGCTCCAGGATAGGGCAGAGGGGCTGGAAAACTGGGAAAGAACCTGGGGGTGCTGGTGACAGAGGCTGGACGTGAGCCCAGGTGGCCAAGAAGGCCAAAGGCAGCGGGCTTGGATCCCAAATAGTGTGGGATCTGGAGCAGGGCAGGGATTGTCCCCCTGTGCTGGCACTGCTGAGGCACCACCTGGAGTTGTGGGTCCAGTTTTGGGCCCTGGGGACAAGCCATGGAGGGGCTGGAGTGTGTGCAGGGAAGGGAACAGAGCTGGGAAGGGGCTGGAGCAGCAGGAGCAGCTGAGGGAGCTGGGGGGGCTCAGCCTGGAGAAAAGGAGGCTCAGGGGGGACCTTCTGGCTCTGCAACCCCCTGACAGGAGGGGGAGAAGGGTGGAATCAGTCTCTGCTCCCAGGGAACAAGGGACAGGAAGAGAGGGAACGGCCTCCAGCTGTGCCAGGGGAGGGTCAGGTTGGACATCAGGAGGAATTTTTTGCTAGAAAAGGGTGGTCAGGCCTTGGCAGGGGCTGCCCAGGGGGGTTTGGAGTGCCCAGCCCTGTAAGTGCCCAAGGAAGGCCTGGATGTGGCACTCAGTGCTCTGGGCTGGGGGACAAGGTGGGCATCGGGCACAGGGTGGGCTCTGTGACCTTGGAGGGCTTTTCCCACCTCTGGGATTCCATGAGGAGAATGGAGGGTTCTGGAGGACACAACAGGGCTTTGGGTGACTGACCTGCAGCTTCCCCTGGTAGGTTTTGTAGGGCGGGGGCGGCTCCTGGGATGTAAAAAAGGGCTCCAGGCTGAGATTTTATTAAGAAAAAATCTGGTAGGATTGGGATAAAATGGGCTGTTTTCTGGTATTAGGAAAAGGGTCCAGGGAAAGATCCTTCCAGGACCTGAAGGGAGCCCTCAGGAGACACGGAGAGGGACTTTTTACAAGAGTGTGGAGGGACAGGACACAGGGAATGGCTTCAAACTGCCAGAGGGCAGGGATAGATGGGATATTGGGAAGGAATTCCTGGCTGGGAGGGTGGGGAGGGACTGGAATGGATTTCCCAGAGAAGCTGTGGCTGCCCCTGGATCCCTGGAAGTGTCCAAGGCCAGGTTGGAGCAACCTGGGATGGTGGAAGGTGTCCCTGCCCATGGCACTGGATGATCCTTAAGGTCCCTCCCATCCCAAACCATCCTGGAATTCTGTGCTGTAGCTGGTGACTGTGTTGTGTTTGGGATGAGGAGGAAGAGAAGGACTTTGGAGTGGGGGAAAAAGGAAAAGGAAGGGCTGGAAATCCTTTCCAGGATGGAGAAGTTGTGGCTTGGGGTGAGGAAATATCTGGAGAGGGTTGGGATTGGCACTGGAGGAGAGGGAAGGGAGTCTGGGAGGAAACATGGGAGTCACCTCTGAGTACTTGGTGTCTTGTAGCATCTTGTGGAGAATCCCAGAGTTAAAAACCTCCTGGAAGTGTGTCTTGGTTAAAAAAAAAAGGGAAGATCCAGTTGTTAGGCCTTGGGAACATCTTTATTGAGGGTTGTTGGGCTCCCAGGAGCTTCAAACTCCTCATTTCCCAGGTGGTAAATTGGGAATAAACCACCCTGGGAAAACTGCAGCCAGGAGGGAGGAGAGAAAACAGATAAAACAGGAGATGAAAATAAACCCCAAACCCCATAAAATACGGGATTATGTGCAGGAATGTCGTGCAGATCGTTCTCAAGGGCAGGAGAGAAAAATCCAGGATTGGAATTTTGGTGGAAAACTGGCAGAGGGAAGGTGGCAGCTCCTTGTCCTGGTGTTTGGAGCAGCTCCTGGGATAATTAGTAACACTCCCAATTAATTGGGGAGCTCACACGAGGTGAGTCACCTCCTTTTCATGGAAGCACAGCTGAGTCTCGTGGAAAGAATTCCCACATTGGGGTGACTCTGCAGGAAATCCAATCCCAGCTCCCTGTTCCCAATATCCCAGGTGCTGCTCCCAGTGGAGCTGTGGAAGGAACTGCAGGTTTTTGGGGCAAAAAGTCAAACTATTTGTTAAAAAAAATTGTGATTTCCAGAGTGTGGATCCCTAAATCCCCACTTTGACACTAATTCCACCTCTGAATTCCACACAATCTGCTCCCTCAAGGAACTCTCTGGGAATCCTGAAGCCAACAAAACAGCCAAATCCTTTTCCAGGGATCCTTGGGGGAATTCCCACAGCACCCACGGAGATCTCCCAAGTTGCTGCATCATTATTATCCCTTAAAAACTCCAATGATATTTTGAATTAAACACTCCAAATTCCATATTCCTGAGATGAGGACTAACCACAGTTTGTTATATCCCACAAAACCCCTGGAATTTGGGTTCCAAACCTTATTTTCGTGGCCTTTTTTAAACCCCTTGAAGTTTAAATTTCTTCTCAGAGAGAGAGAGAAGAAAAGGAAAAAAGAAACATCCAGATGTGATGTTGATGAAAATGAAAATATTGGGGGAGGGGGGGGAAAAAAGCTGGAAAAATGAACGGATTGAATTCCCAAAGAGGTTTTTTTGCTTGGAAAATTTGCCCTCGGGCACCTTTAGGAGCTGAGTGAGGTCTCAGGTGAGTCAAAAGTCACAAGACCTGAGGTATGAAAACCTATAAATACCCCGGGCAGGGACTGCTCTGCTTTTCCTGGACTCAGAGCACTTGTTTTCCCTCAGTTTTTAAATATCCATCCGCTGTTCTTCATGGATTTGGAATTTTGGGGACAGGACCGGTGGTATTTTTGAGACAACTTGGAGCTGGTTTGGATTTGAAGAGAAAGAAACGCTCGGGGAACAAATTCTGCCCCTAAAAAGGAGCCCCCAAAAGGCTCCCTGAGAATTCCATGGCTGCACATCCAGGTAGGACTTTGGGATATGGATTAGGATGATCCTGTTTTATGGCACAGGTTGGGAGGCTGCTTTAAATATCAATATTTTCTGAGTTTTGAGAGCAAAATGTTGTCTTGCTGAGGAGCTGGAGGTGGTTTTGTAGGGCTGGGGTGTGAAAATGGGCTCCCTGAGAATTCCAGGGCTGCACATCCAGGTAGGACTTTGGGATATGGATTAGGAAGATCCTGTTTTATGGCAGAGCTTGTGAGGCTGCTTTAAATATCAATATTTTTATAGTTTTGAGAGAAAAAAAGTTGTCTTGCTGAGGATTTGGTGGTTTTGTAGGGCTGGGGCAGCTCCTGGGGTGTGAAAATGGGCTCCCTGAGAATTCCAGGGCTGCACATCCAGGTAGGATTTTGGGATATGAATTAGGAAGATCCTGTTTTATGGCACAGGTTGGGAGGCTGCTTTAAATATCAATATTTTCACAATTTTGAGAGAGAAACGTTGTCTTGCTGAGGAGCTGGAGGTGGTTTTGTAGGGCTGGGGCAGCTCTTGGGATGTGAAAATGAACTCCCTGAGAATTCCAGGGCTGCACATCCAGGTAGGATTTTGGGATATGGATGAGGATGATCCTGTTTTATGGCAGAGCTTGTGAGGCTGCTTTAAATATCAATATTTTTATAGTTTTGAGAGAAAAAAAGTTGTCTTGCTGAGGATTTGGTGGTTTTGTAGGGCTGGGGCAGCTCTTGGGGTTTGAAAATGGGCTCCCTGAGAATTCCAGGGCTGCACATCCAGGTAGGATTTTGGGATATGGATTAGGATGATCCTGTTTTATGGCACAGGTTGGGAGGCTGCTTTAAATATCAATATTTTCTGAGTTTTGAGAGCAAAATGTTGTCTTGCTGAGGAGCTGGGGGTGGTTTTGTAGGGCTGGGGCGGCTCCTGGGATGTGAAAACAGGCTCCAGGCTGAGATTTTATTAAAAAAAATGAGATTTCTTTGCTGATTTAGGATTTTTTTTGCCTCCCTGGGCCTGGGGGAAGGGGGGCGGTGCTGCCAGGAGCAGGTTTTTTTTTTTAGGAGCTGCGGGCAGGGGAGGGGGGGGGTGCGGTGGGGCGGGCCCAAGCGTGGGGGGCCAGGGGGCCTCGGGCGCATGTGAGGGGCTGACAGTCCAGTATGTGTTAACATTATTGATAGTCCGCTTATGTGAACAGTGGATCAGCTTATAAGGGAAAAGAAGCTAAAATAATGAGATATAGGGAGCGAGAGGATTGAGGAGAGATAGAATCTATATCTGTAAATAATACATATTTATATTAGTCTTTTACATATAGTATCTCTTATACTATGCTAGGATATAATATATATTATAATGGATAAGAATATATCAGATAAAATGAGAGAAAAGAGTAAATGTAATTATTACTACTGTTCTATATTTATTATCTCTTTTCTCTATCCTTAAAACCTCTTAAAATATAATCTTATCTAGTTTATATTTCATTTATTATTTATATATTTATATATGTTATATGTTTATTTTTTATTTTTATATGATATGTATTATGTGTATTCTTCATAATATATGTTTTAAATCTATATAATATATAATATAATACAAAATAAAATAATAATTATACTATGTTTGTATATGTTTATATCTACTTATATATATTTATATACTTTTAATATAATATATATTATATATATTAAAAATAATATAATATATAGTATATATAGATAATATATATTATAACACACAATATATAAATGTAAAAGTATTATAATATTTATCCTAAATAATATATTATTTATAATATCTATTATAATATAATATTTATAATATATTATTTATCATATATGCTGATATATATTAATATATATACTCTATTTATACTTTATATATAACATAAAAATACATAAAACAGAATATAAAATAATATCAAATAATAAATATAATCAAATAGAATAATATATATATATTATAAATAATATATGTAAATAATTATGGAATTAAGGCAACAAGTTGTTGTGAGCTGGGTGCTGATATTTGAAATTTTCCAAAACCAGTGAAAACAGGAAAAATGATACAAAATGTTAATTTTTATCATCTTTACTGTATTTATTTCACCTCTAGGCCCTGTCCATCAAGTTAAGCTTAATTTGGATTTATAAATGATTAAAAAAAATTTAAAAATATCTATATGTTTATAAACTAAAATGTTTTTAATATAAAATATATTATGTGTATAAAATATGTATATTTATAAATTAAAAATATATTATATTAATTATATTAATATATTAAAATATAATTTATAAATTATAATTTATGGATCCTGGTTAATAAACCCTTAACGTGATTTATCTTCAACTCTCATTGATTTCACTGCTCAAATGGTTGTTTAACCTGATTTATTTGTCATTTATAGGACTAAATTATTACTGTAATAATTAGAAACCCATAATAGGAACATTTCCCACTTCAATTATCCTGGCAGAAACATTCCCTGGATTTTTTGGAGTCCCACTGCTGATGTTTTTGGAATCCCACCGTTTATTCCTTTATTATTTGACTGATTATTAAAGTCTGACATTGAAGATTATTAAAAAGCATTTTCCTTTCTCCCCGTATTTGCCACAGGAAGAAAATAACCTTGACCTGGAAATTTAAATAATAAATCAGTGGAAATTAAAATCATAAAATATCAGAATTATAACACCCCCAAAGGGTCATAAAATCAAAATTCTCTCCATCAGATCCTTCTGCTCCAACCTGTGTTGGAGGAACAACCCTGTTTTTCTACGTGGAAAATTATCTCCAAATTAGGAATTTTATGTAGGAAACGATAAAGAAATAAATAATATTTCCTAGACTTTGTTTTGTTGGCTGGAATCTCATTTAAATCCAATTTCTGGGGGCTTTTTCTCCCTCTCTTTGCCCCCAGTACAATAGATTTATATATTTATATTATATATATATTTTTATATATATTTATACATATATAAATATATATACATTTTCTTATATATAAATATAAATAATATATTTTATATAATTATTATATTATATATAATATATAATATAATAATATGTAATATATTATATATAATATATATGATATATAATTATGCATATATATAAATTTATATGTATAAATATAAATAATATATAATATATAATTATTATATATATTATATATAATTATTATATTATATAATATATAATATGTATAATATATAAATATATATATTATATATAATAAAAATATATATTTATATATTTTTTTTATATATATATATATATATATATATATATAAATCCAGTACAGAGGGTTTATTATATATAAAAATCCAGGACTGTGTGGATTTATTGGGAATTTTCACTTTAAACTCCAATTTCTTGGTAAATTTGTGGCCTTTTTTTTTTTTTCCCCCCATTTCATCTCTACAATTAATAATGAAAATAAGGTTTTTAAAAGGCCATGAAAATAAGGTTTGGAACCCAAATTCCAGGGGTTGTGTGGGATGTAACAAACTGTGATTAGTCCTTTTCTCAGGAATATGGAATTTGGAGTGTTTAATTCAAAATATCATTGGAAGTGGAGTTTTTAAGGGATATTAATGATGCCCGAGCTGGGAGATCTCCGTGGGTGCTGTGGGAATTCTCCCAAGGATCCCTGGGAAAGGATTTGGCTGTTTTGTTGGTTTTGGGATTCCCAAAGAGTTCCTTGAGGGAGCAAATTGTGTGGAATTCAGAGGTGGAATTAGTGTCAAAGTGGGGATTTAGGGATCCAACTTCCAGCTGCTCCCTACAGACACCCGGAGCTCGTGTTCTGGGATTAATCCCTAAATTATCCCGTGATCCATCCGAGGAGATAATGAGCTGGGGAGTGATTAAATCCCCGTGACGTGCTGGGTGTTCCCAAATTAATTGTGGGATGTCAAACTGTAACGAGGAATTGAGATGTTCCGGGGAATAATCCAACCCTCGGGAACAAGAAACCTCTGGAAGTGTGGACAGAAGCCACTCCAGGTGTGTTGTGTTTCATCTCCCATTCCAAAGGTCGGATTTTTGGGATAGAAGGAAGTGACAGCTCTTTGTTTTCCTCCCGGGATTCCGGATCCCGCTGAGCAATCCCTGCGGGATTCATGTGTCATCCCAGAGCATCCCATGCTCCCAGGAAAACGTGACCCATCCAGAAGTGCTGTGATTATTTCCCAGGACAAAAACTATGGATTTGGGAGTGATTTTGGCTGGTTGTTCCACCAGAAGTTTGGCTCCCCTTGAATTTGGAAGGAAGCTGATTTTTCCAAGTTATTATTCCAAAGTAATATCCAAGAGATAGTGACAATTCCTGAAGAATATGGATCCATTTATGGCCGGGAGTTTCTGCTCTTTAATCCTTGGGAATTCTGCTCAAAAATGTCCCTGCCCATAGTAGAGGGTTGGATTAGAAGATCTTTAAGATCCCTTCCATCCCAGATCATTCCGTGATTCCATGGATATTCTGGAGTGTTCCCGACACACCTGGATGTTGGGATATCAGAGTGGAAAAGGAAGGAGCAGTTATTCAGTGTGGTCCCTGTAGATACACATTCATGGGATGTGTTTTGGGATATCCTGGATTTTCTCCGGGACCTGTTGGTCTGTGGGAAGCTCCTTCTGAGGATGGAGTGGGAATGGGAATATTCCAGGACATTTAAGGCAATAAATATTGGAAGTTTGTGCTGCTGGGAATGGGGTGGCCAATGCTGTTGACAGTCCTTTCCAAAGGAAATGTTCAGGTGGTTGGAAATGATTATGGAACAATGGGTGGGTTGAATTCCCAAAGAGATTTTTGCCTGGAAAATTTTCCCTCGGGCACCTTTAGGAGCTGAGTGTTGGGTAAAGCTTTGGACGTTCTGGAGTGTTCCCAACACACCTGGATGTTGGGATAGAGTGGAAGGAGAAGGAGCAGTTATTCAGTGTGGTCACTGTAGATACACATTCATGGGATGTGTTTTGGGATATCCTGGATTTTTCTCCAGGACCTGTTGGTCTGTGGGAAGCTCCTTCTGAGGATGGAGTGGGAATGGGAATATTCCAGGGCATTAAGGCAATAAATACTGGAAGTTTGTGCTGCTGTGAATGGGGTGACCAATGCTGTTGACAGTCCTTTCCAAAGGAAATGTTCAGGTGGTTGGAAATGATTATGGAACAATGGATGGATTGAATTCCCAAAGAGGTTTTTGCCTGGAAAATTTGCCCTCAGGCACCTTTAGGAACTGAGTGTTGGATAAAGCCCTGGAGCGTTCAGGGGACTCAAAACTCATCCACATCCATCCACAGCTGTTCCCAAACCTGTCTTGCATCTCCACCTGGAATGTGAGAGTACTGGAAGCAAACTGTGGATGGAATTAACGTTCCTAAAGATTCCTGCTCTTTTTTTTATTCCTTTAGTTTCTCCCGGCTTTGAGAGCGTTGCCCTTGGAGAGGAGGCTCAGCCCGACGAGCTGATGAACGAGGACATCCGTATCCATAGCTGGCCTTGCTCCTACTACCTGGACACCGGGAAGCAATGGATCTCTGGGAGACTCTCCCTGACTCCCGTCGGGATCAAATTCACAGCTGACAAAACCGGGGAGCTCTTGGTCGACTTCCACCTTTCCGGGATCAGCGAGATCAAGAAGGAATCTTCCAACCTCATCTTCAGCTCCCTCACCATCCTGGAGAAGAACACCAAGCACTGGTTCAGCTCCCTGCAGCCCAACAGGAATGTGGTGTTCAACATCCTGGAGCACTTCTGGAGGGAGCAGCTGCTGGAGAGCCGAGGGGCGGGAGCGGAAGGAGCGGCTGCGCGGCCCGGGAAGGGGAAGGAACTGACGGGAATGTTGGCGGGATCCCAGAAACGCCTGGAGGACACGGCCAAGGTGCTGCACTACCAGGGGGAGCAGTTTGACAACATCATGAAAGGGCTCAACAAGATCGAGGGGGACATGGATGTGGCTGACAGGTAACGGGGTGGGGGCTGGGAATTCCGGGATGGATCCGCAGGAGGGTGTTCCTCAGACCAGGAATTCCCAGGGCAGATCCACAGGAGGGTGTTCTTCAGACCAGGAATTCCCAAGGCAGATCCACAGGAGGGTGTTCTTCAGACCAGGAATTCCCGGGGCAGATCCACAGGAGGGTGTTCTTCAGACCAGGAATTCCCAAGGCAGATCCACAGGAGGGTGTTCCTTGGGCCTGGAATTCCTGGGGTAGATCTGTAGGAGGGTGTTCCTCAGACCAGGAATTCCTGGGGTAGATCTGTAGGAGGGTGTTCCTCAGACCTGGAATTGCTGGGGCAGGTCCACAGGAGGGTGTTCTTCAGACCAGGAATTCCCAAGGCAGATCCACAGGAGGGTGTTCCTTGGGCCTGGAATTCCTGGGGTAGATCTGTAGGAGGGTGTTCCTCAGACCAGGAATTCCTGGGGAGGATCCCCAGGAGGGTGTTCCTCAGACCAGGAATTGCTGGGGCAGATCCCCAGGAGGGTGTTCCTCAGACCAGGAATTCCTGGGACAAATCTGCAGGAGGGTGTTCCTCAGACCTGGAATTCCCGGGGCAGATCCACAGGAGGGTGTTCCTTGGACCTGGAATTCCTGGGGCAGATCCACAGGAGGGTGTTCCTTGGGCCTGGAATTCCCGGGGCAGATCCACAGGAGGGTGTTCCTCAGACCAGGAATTCCTGGGGCAGATCCCCTGGAGGGTGTTCCTCAGACCAGGAATTCCCAAGGCAGATCCACAGGAGGGTGTTCCTCAGACCAGGAATTCCTGGGACAGATCCACAGGAGAGTGTTCCTTGGGCCTGGAATTCCTGGGGCAGATCCACAGGAGGGTGTTCCTTGGACCAGGAATTCCTGTGGCAGATCCACAGGAGGGTGTTCCTCAGACCAGGAATTCCCGGGGCAGATCCACAGGAGGGTGTTCCTTGGGCCTGGAATTCCTGGGGCAGATCCACAGGAGGGTGTTCCTCAGACCAGGAATTCTGGTGGTAGATCTGTAGGAGGGTGTTCCTCAGACCAGGAATTATCCACAGGAGGGTGTTCTTCAGACCAGGAATTCCTGGGGCAGATCCACACCAGGAATTCCCGAGGCAGATCCACAGGAGGGTGTTCCTCAGACCAGGAATTCCCAGGACAGATCCACAGAAGGTGTTCCTTGGGCCTGGAATTCCTGGGGCAGATCCACAGGAGGGTGTTCCTCGGACCAGGAATTCCCGGGGCAGATCCACAGGAGGGTGTTCCTTGGACCTGGAATTCCTGGGGCAGATCCACAGGAGGGTGTTCCTTGGGCCTGGAATTCCTGGGGCAGATCCACAGGAGGGTGTTCCTCAGACCAGGAATTCCCAAGGCAGATCCACAGGATTTTATGTATAAATCTCCTCTTTCCTTCAAAAAACTTTCCCAACCCTTATGAATTCCCACTCCAAGTGACAGAAATAATGGAGATCTCCAGAATATCAGCACCCTATAAATTATTAGTGAATGGGTAACTAATTAGGGGAAATAAGGGAATTAATGTCCCCACTGGCATTCAGGTGTTCATTAATACGACATTCCCACTTTTATTGGATGGCCTGGAATATTCCTAAATCGAAATCCTGGCATTTTGCTGCCTTTTAGACAAGTTGGAGGAAGAGATTTGGAGCCCGTTGGAGATGTTGTTTAACTGGAGCTGCCCCAAAACTCGAGGGAATGGTAAATATTTGGTGTTAATCAGAACATTCTGGCTTTCCTGTTGGCTGATGAACATTCCAAGGGGAATTCTTTGATGTGTTCCGTGTGAAATTCCGGTCCAAAACGGACAGAAAGGTCGAGAGCAGCGGTGGAATATTTAAGGGATCTCTGGTTTGGGAGTGCCTTTGGAGCAGCTCCGACACCTGCAGGAAGAAACAAAACACAATAAAAGTTCAAACCGGTTGTTCTTGGAAGCAGCAGCTGGTTTGAGATGGATCGGCTGGAAAGGGAAGTGCTGCTTTCCCGATGATTTTGGGGATGTTCTCCGGGGCCTTTCATGGAAAGCCAAAAGACTCGGAGCTTCGGCGGGAGCTTGGAAAGTTCTGGGGCAACAAACAAAGAGCAGGAAAAGCGATGCCGGCTCATTGTTTTTGGAAGGGAGCTTTGCTTTGGGGTGAAGAGGCGCTGCCAGGGATTTATTTGTCCTCCTGAAGCTGAAAATTTGGAGGCAGGGACTTAAAAATGGGAAAATAAGGGAAAGCAGGGAGCAAATGTGCAGGTGACACCAAGCTGGGGGGGAGTGTGGATCAGCTGGAGGGCAGGAGGGCTCTGCAGAGGGACCTGGACAGGCTGGATCCAGGGGCTGATTCCAAGGGGATGAGGTTCAAGCAGGCCAAGGGCCGGGTCCTGCCCTTTGGCCACAACAACCCCCGGCAGCTCCAGGCTGGGCCAGAGGGGCTGGAGAGCAGCCAGGCAGGAAGGGAGCTGGGAGTGGGGATGGCCAGGGAGCTGAACAGGAGCCCCAGTGTGCCCAGGGGGACAAGAGGGCCAATGGATCCTGGCCTGGCTCAGGAACAGGGTGGCCAACAGGGCCAGGGAAGTGATTCTGCCCCTGGACTCAGCGCTGGGGAGGCCACCCCTGGAGTGCTGTGTCCAGTTCTGGGCCCTCAGCTCAGGAAGGACATGGAGGGGCTGGAGCAGGGCCAGGGAAGGGCAACAAGGCTGGGGAAGGGACTGGAGCACAAGTGCTGTGAGGAGAGGCTGAGGGAGCTGGGGGGGCTCAGCCTGGAGAAGAGGAGGCTCAGGGGAGACCTCCTCACTCTCTGCAACTCCCTGACAGGAGGGGGGAGCCGGGGGGGGGTTGGTCTCTTTTCCCAGGCAACTCTCAGCAAGACAAGAGGGCTGGGTCTGCAGCTGTGCCAGGGCAGGGTTAGGTTGGACATTAGGAAGAATTTCTTTGCAGAGAGGGTGCTCAGCCATTGGAATGGGCTGCCCAGGGAAGGGGGGGATTCTCCATCCCTGGAGGTGTTTAAGGACAGACTGGATGTGGCATCAGTGCCATGGGCTGGGAACCAGGGCGGGGTTGGATCAAGGGTTGGACTGGATGATCTCAGAGGTCCCTTCCAACCCAGCTGATTCCATGATTCTGTTCCATGAAATGTGAGCTGAAGAGTTTGGCCAAGGCTCAAGGGGGGGCAAAATCAGCTGTGATTTGATTCACAAACCTGTTCTGGTTACACCGGGCAGGAGGATTTTGTCCATGGAGCAGGAAATTTGGGAACAAACTCCTCCTTCCAGTTTGGGGGGGAGGGGGGTGTCTCTCCTAAAAAGAACCAGAGCCCTTTATCCCCTTCCCTGTGTTCAAAGCTGGGATGGATCTGATCTTGCCTCTGTGGGTGGCCTTGTTCTTTTTGGATTCTTCATTCCATGTTTGTGTATCCCTGGATGTTCCCAGCTGCTTCCAGAGGAGCAGAGCTGAGTGTGCCGTGCTCCAGATGGGCAGGGCCCCCAAAATCAGCAGGAATCCAGATCCTGTTTTAATGCATTCTTAATAAATATATTTTAAAATATATTTTTAATATATAGCTAATAAAAACCTATAATATATTTAATATATACAAAAATATAATATATATAATATATAAAATATATTGTATATAGGGATATAAGATATATTTACATATAATACATATAAATATATATTTATTCTATGCCTATTAAAAACCTATAATATATATAATATATACAAATATATAATATATAAAATATGTTCTATATAAGGATATAAGATATATGTACATATAATACATATAAATATATATATAATATATACCTATTAAAAACCTATAATATATAATATATACAATTATATAATATATAAAATATATTATATATAAGGATATAAGATATATTTACATATAATACATATAAATATATATTTAATATATTCCTATTAAAAACCTATACAATATATAATATATATAGTATATATAAATATATATACAATATATTTATATATAATATATACATATATTTTTAATATATTCCTATTAAATATATTTTAAATATCTTTTTAATATATTCCTATTAAAAACCTATAATATATATGATATACATATTTAAGACATATAAATATCTTTTTAATATATTCCTATTAAATATGATTTTAAGTATCTTTTTGATATATTCCTATTAAAACCCTAAAATATATATGATATACATAATGTATATATTATAAATAAATATATATTATGTTTTTCTATTTAATACATATAAATATCTTTTTAATATATTCCTATTAAATATCTTTTTAAATATCTTTTTAATATTTCCTATTAAAAACCTATTATATATATGATATATATTATATATATCATATATATATGATATACGTAATATATATATAATAAATAAATATATATAATATATATTTATATTTAATGCATGTAAGTATCTTTTTAATATATTCCTATTAAATAGATTTTTAAATATCTTTTTAATATATTCCTTTTAAAAACATTTAATATATATGATATGCATAATATATGCTATATAAATGTATAGAATATATATTTATATTTAATGCATATATATCTTTTTAACATATTGCTATTAAATATATTTTAAAATTTCTTTTTAATATATTCCTATTACAAACCTATAATATATATGATATACATAATGTATATAATAAATATATATAATATATACTTACATTTAATACATATAACTATATTTTTAATATATTCTTATTTAATATTTTTTAAAATATATCTTTAATATATTCCCATTAAAACCCTATAATAAATATGATATATATGATATATATGTATTATATATTATATATATTATATAATATATAATATATATTTATATATTATCTATAAATATATTTTTAATATATATTATATAATATATAATATATATTTATATATTATCTATAAATATCTTTTTAATGTATATTATAATATATAAAGTATATATTTATATATTATCTATAAAAATCTTTTTAATGTATATTATAATATATAAAGTATATATTTATATATTATCTATAAAAATCTTTTTAATGTATATTTTATAATATATATATATATTTATATATTATATATAAATATCTTTTTAATATATATTATAATATATAAAGTATATATTTTTATATTATTTATAAATATCTTTTATATATATATAGTATATAATATATAATATATATTTATATATAATATATATAAAAATCTTTTTAACATATTCCTCTTAAAAAGTGCTCTGGTGCAAGTTTTCCTTTGTATCTCTGGCTTAGGGATTTGTTGATCCAGAGGGGTGATTCCACCATGGAATTCTGGCAATAATTGCCTGGAGCCTTTTTTAGGGCTCTTCAGCAGGAAAATCCTGCCTGGAAATCCCCCAGGGAATCTCAATCCCTGGGAAAAGAGGGAAGGAGCTGGGATGAAGTGATAAAAATTCAGGATTGGAGTTATCCAGAGAAATCATCCCAATGGAAAGGGAAGTTTGGATCATCTGGGAGGAGATTCCTGGAATTCTGCCTCTGCTATCCATGAATTCAGTGGTTGATTCCCAACATGGCTTTTCCTAGGAGAGGAATTCCTTCCAGTGGATCCCTTTGGAAAATTTTGTTGGCCAACAAAGCGTGTTCCAGTTGGAGCTTCCTCCTTCAACTCCCACTTGGACAAATTAAACAGGATGGAAAAATTGCAGGATTTAGGAATTTTTCTGTGGAAACACGGGGATTCTTTCCTGGAAAATAAAACCTTACAAAAAGTGAACCAAACCCACCGTTTTTCCTCTCATTCCCACTTTTTTTTGGGGGTGAAAAGAATCCTGGTGAGGCTTAGACTCAAAAATCAGGGATTCTTTCCTGATCCTTTCTTTGGGAAAGGACCCCGGGAAAAGGGAACGTCTCCCTTGGGAGCTGCACCAGCGCCGAGGGGGAGGTGGACTCTGCACACTGGTGGGAAGTTTCTGCTGGACTTTTGAGCCTCAATCTTAGTGGGAATTTTAACTGGGAATTAGGGTGTGGGGGCAAAGCCAAAGGTGGTATCAGACTGTGGGATTGAGGGATAAAGGAACAGGAAAAAGCAGCGGGAAAAGGAGTGGAAAATTGAGGAAAAGGCAGCGTGAGCTGAGCAACAGCCTGGAAAAATCCAGTTGGAAGTTCAGTTTCTTGCATCCCAGCAGTGAGATTCCAGCCCAGCAGTGAGATTCCAGCAATGCTTCCCATTTTTTTAGCACATGAGGAGAAGCTGGGTTTGGAAACGGATGGATCCTGGGAAGCTGGGAATAGGTTTGAGGAGTGAAATAACAACGGGCTGGATTCCAGATTAAGGAATTAAGGATTTGCTTTGAGCTGGTGGGATTACAGGACCTTCCCACCGGTTTTCCCTGTTCTAACCTTCCCTTCTCCTGCCAGGTTGTTGACAGAGCTGGAATCTCCTTCCTGGTGGCCCTTCAGCAGCAAACTCTGGAAAACACCTCTGGAATCCAAGCCCAAGGAAGCGGCCGCAGCTTCCGAGCCCAAGAACCAGGAAGGAATCATCCTGAGAATTCCAGTCATTATCACCCACAGAACAGACTCCAGTGCCAAGCCAGGAAAACTCACCCTCTTTGCTTCTGGCCTGGAGATCAGTGACTGCAATTCCCAGGTGATCCACAGGTTTGAATCCCGGGATGTGGATGATATCCGGGTGCACACTCCCTACGAGATCAGCGTCCGCCAGAGGTTTATTGGGAAGCCCGACACGTCCTACAGGCTCCTGTCAGCCAAGATGCCAGAGCTCATTCCCGTCCTGGAGATGCAGTTCAGCAAGAAGATGCAGTTCCTGGAGGATGCCTTGGGATTTGGGGGAGCCAGGAAGTCTCCTCAGGTGGATTTGGGGACGTCCATCTGGCAGGCGGGTAAGTGGGACAGGGAATCCCTCTGGAATTCAGCAGATTTGACTCCAAAGGTTTCCAAGGGTTTTCCAACCCCAAAGTACTTCCAAGGCAAATTCTCTCGTCCCTGTCCTAACAGTGGTGATGATAAAATCCAAGGATTTGGCCTCAGGTGGATTTGGGGACCTGCATCTGGCAGGCAGGTAAGTGGGACAGGAAATCCCTCTGGAAGCAGCAGCTTTGACTCCAAAGGTTTCCAAGTGTTTTCCAAACCCAAAATAGTGTAAAAAAATTCCCAAGGCAAATCTTGTCCTCCCTGTCCCAACAGTGGTGATGATAAAATCCAAGGAATTGGGGCCAGGAAGGGAATTTGGGGACTTGCATCTGGCAGGCAGGTAAGTGGGACAGGGAATCCCTCTGGAAGCAGCAGCTTTGACTCCAAAGGGTTCCAAGTGTTTTCCAAACCCAAAATAGTGTAAAATATTTCCCAAGGCAAATCCTCTGCTCCCTATCCCAATGGGACATTTTTCCTTGATAAAATCCAAGGATTTGGCCTCAGGTGGATTTGGGGAGCTGCATCTGGCAGGCATGGATCTGGGACAGGGAATCCCTCTGGAATTCAGCAGATTTGACTCCAAAGGTTTCCAAGGGTTTTCCAACCCCAAAGTACTTCCAAGGCAAATTCTCTCCTCCCTGTCCTAAGAGTGGTGATGATAAAATCCAAGGATTTGGCCTCAGGTGGATTTGGGGAGCTGCATCTGGCAGGCATGGATCTGGGACAGGGAATCCCTCTGGAAGCAGCAGCTTTGGCTCCAGAGGTTTCCAAGTGTTTTCCAAGCCCAAAATATTCCCAAGGCGAATCCTCTCCTCCCTGTCCCAACGGTGGTGATGATAAAATCCAAGGAATAACCTCCAGGTGACTTCAAACCCTCCATCATTGCTGTTTTTCCTTTGTCATTCCTGGCTGGAATAGATGAATTATAATGACATTAAACTTGTCCTTCAGTTAAATACAGGAAGTTCAACCCAAATCTCCATTCCAGGAATTCAATAAATCATGGGAGAAACATCATATTGATCTTCCTAAAAATTTTTTTCCTAAAAACCCCTAAATTTTGGCATTTGAGGAGTCCAAGTGTTTAAATTTGGGGGATTTTAAGCCTCAGATTTGTTGATTTTTAAGATTTCAAGGAAACAATGGAGACTGAAACCCTTTCCCAACAATCAGCTTGACATTCCTTACTCCTCTTCATTCTCCTAAAATTCCAAGGAGTGTTTTTCCCCTTTAGTTTTTTTTTGTAATTCAACCCTGGATTCATTTAATATATATCACTTAGGAATTTATTTAATTTATTTATGTAAATCCTCTTTTTTTTCCCCCCTAATTTTTTAGTGACAAAAGAGCAACTCGAGGCCTGGATTTATTCCCAGCTCATTAAAAACCAAGCAGAAAACAGGATAAAATAATAAATTGACATCTTTCCTTGCACCAAACATCCTGGAATTCAGCAGGGGAGGGTATTTTGAAAGGGAAAAAACTTGGAAAAACTTTGTTAATTTTGAAGGAAGGAAGTTTTTGGGCATCTGGCACTTCAAATCCAACAGCAACTTAGAGGAAAAACAACCTGCTTTGAGTTATTCCAGCAAGTTGGAGTCCAATTCCTGAGGGCCTGAAGGCTGGTTATATAAAATCCTTGTTTTTTTCCAGCCCTCTCCAGGTTTTTCCCACTGTTCTGAGCGAGGGAAGGAAGGATTTGCTCCTTCCTTGCTGCCTTTTCCCTGTTTCCTTTGGAAATGGGCTTAAAAAAACCCGGATTTTATGGCAATCCTGATTTTTCCAGCTCCACCAAAGCCCTTGTTTGTCCCTTCCCAGGAATTTATCCCTGTTTTTTTCTGCTGTCACAAGGTGGCACCCACGGGCTGTAGTTCAACCTCTGGGATTTTTTCCATGGATATCGTCATTTTTTTTCTTCTTTTCCCTAAAAACTGAGGGGGAAAAAAATCCTTGTTTTGTGCCCCTGTGCACAGAAAAAGCTGTGTTTTTTCAGATAATTAATTAATTAATTTAGGGATTTCTAGGAGAAATATCCTGGCATGGGAGGTCCATCCACCTTAAAATTAAGGATTTTGCCCTTTTTACCCCAAACTGTCACAACCTCACCCGGAACCTCTGTTTAAAGTTGTGCATATTCCACAAAAATACCAAAAAAAAAGAATCCCTTTTCCTAAGATTTTTGGCGTAATTCCACCTGCAAGAGGAATTTCTGGAGGGTTTTCTGCACCCCCAAATTATCTGAAAGGATTTTGAGGTGATTTGCACTTCTTTTCTCCCTCTTTTTTTTGGCCAAACAGGAGTGTTTAAACTCTCAGGGCGTTCGGTTTATTCGATTTTATTCAGTTTTTAGCCAATTCCACCCTCAGGAATGGCTGAGAACACCTTCCCAGGATTAAAAAAAAACAGGATTAAAATCCTAAAGTGGCTCTGAGCACAATTTAGGGCTGTCTGGGTCCTGTAGCTGAATTTTGGCATCCACAGGTTTTTTTTATCCCTTTAGAAGCTGCTGAATTTTTCCCGTTTCTCCCCGAATTTGCTCATTCTTTGGAATTCCCAGCGCTTTGTTCCAAGCTTTGGTGGCTTTTTGGAAGTAACACCCATGAAACCAAATTCCTTTTTAAGTATTTCTGCCTTTTTATCCCTAAAAAAAATCGCTGGGAAATTCCAGCTCTCCTTCCTCATCCCGCTCTTTTTGTCCTCGGATTAATGGAGATGGATGGATGGATGAATTGATTTTAATTAATTAATTAGCACAGGGTGACACTCAGCTGATAAGAAACACAAAGAACCTCCTCTGGCTGTTTGTTACCAGAGGGAATTCTGTCATTCCCTCCCCACTTTTCCTGGGAAGGACACCAGGACACCGATTTCCCATTTTTCAGTGCCTGTTTTTTATCCCTCTGGAAAACAAGGAGCACAATCCAGTGAAGGAGCCTGGACAGTGTCTGAGTCCAGGGACTGATAACGGAGTAATTCCAGGGATTAGGAGTTTGCAGGAATTCCCTGGGAGGGATTTAGGGTTTGGTGCTTCTGGTTTTTCCCGGGAAAAGGAATGGGATCCAGAGCTGGGCTGTGGCAGCACTTGGAGCTCTGGGATCTGCCAGGCTTTGTGTCCTCATGGATTCCAACCAGCTGTCCTTGGCCTTGGTGCTCCCAGGTGCCTGTGGGACAATGGGTTCCTTCCTGGTGTCCAGGTGGGAAAACTTTGGAGATAAAATTCCCAGAAGGGTTTGGGTTGGAAGGGACCTTCAGGATCATCTCATCCCACCACCTTCCACTAGCCCAGCTTGCTCCAACCTGGCCTTGGACACTTCCAGGGATCCAGGAGCAGCCACAGCTTCTCTGGGAAATCCATTCCAGTCCCTCCCCACCCTCACAGGGAAGAATTTTTCCCAATATCCCACAGGGAATTGTCAGTCTGACCGTGGGAATTTCTCTTGCAGCCACAGGACTCCTGGGAGGGGTGGTGCAGCCTGGATCTCCAGCAGGAAGCAGGGAAGGGATGGACAATGAGCAGGTTCAGCTGCAGCAGCACGAGAAGGTCTCCCAGGAAGAGGCAAAAGAGCTGAGACAGGTAAAGTTGAGATAAATTTGCCAAATTTGATATAAATTTCCCTCCCAGTGTCTCCTTAAAAACACACGTTTTCCTCATCACAAAGTCGTTGCCTTAACAAAAGAATCCTTCATAAATTTCCATGGGAATATTTTAAAGCTTAATCCAGCCTGTGGTAAAAATACCCTCTTCCCTGAGGGTCTTTAATCATCATAATTAATAATTATAATTCGTAATTTCCAGGTATAAGCTGTGATAGATGTGGAAGTGAAGGAAAATGGGGTCGAAGGGGGAATTCCTTCCCAGGAAAAGCAGGTTTGGAAGGTGTGGAAGTTTGGGATTCACATGGGGCTCCATAAAGTCCATATAGAGCCTTTGGGGTTTGGAACCCCTGGAAGCATCAAGGAAATGACACCTGAGCAAGGTGAATGTTTGGGAAGGAGCAGGATGATGGATCATCACCTTTACAAAGAATTCAGAGAGTAAAGAGGGAAAAACAAGCATTGAAGACAGACATCCTTGTGCCATCACCTTTTATCCATTAATTAAAGATATTTGAGGGCTTTGTGTTTGTAATTGGTGTTTTCCTGAGCAATTCCCTCTCCTGAGGATTGGGATCTTTTATTCCTTGTGGTGAAAACACTTATTTTTCACCAAACAGAGGAGGATTTTGCTCCCTCTCCCTCGTTGTTTGTGATCTGGGTGGGTCAGGAGAACTTCCAAAGCTGGAGAAGAGGAATTTGTGGTGAACAAAGAGCTCTTGCTCTTCCTCTCTCCTCCAGGGATAACAGCAGGTGTTTTCCAACAGGAATTGTTGGGGAATGCTCAATTCCTTCCCTCAGAGCTGGAATTCCTTCCCTCAGTGTGATTTGGGTGCTCAAGGAAAGGACCTCAGCAGGAATTCCTGAGGGGGCATTTATGTTAAAAAACACATTTTCTGGCAATTTGAGGCTGTTTCTGAACTGGGTTATGGAGATGGAGGAAGAATCCTACAAAATTCCAGTGATGGAGGAAAAATCCTACAAAATTCCAGTGTTGTGTGGCTGGGAGTGACAGAATGTCCCCAGGAATGGGAGGGGCTGTGACAATCTTGGTCCTGGGGCTGTGCTTGGAGGGTCTGGATGGTCCCATTCCAGTCCTTTGGACCTCAGCAAGAATTCCTGAGGGGACATTTATGTTAAAACCCACATTTTGTGGCAGTGTGAGTGTTCCTGAACTGGGTTCTGGAGACAGAATCCTACAAAATTCCAGTGGTGTGTCTGGCTGGGATTGATAAAATGGCCCCAGGACTGGAAGGGGATGTGACAGTGGTCCCATTCCAGTCCTTTGGACCTCAGTAGGAATTCCTGAGGGGACATTTATATTAATGTGGTAATGTGAGGGTATTCCCTGAACCTGACTATAGAGATGGAGGAAGAATCCTACAAAATTCCAATGATATATGGCTGGGATTGACAAAATGTCCCTGGGAATGGGAGGGGATGTGACAATCTTGGTCCTGGGGTTGTGCTTGGAGGGTCTGGATGGTCCCATTCCAGTCCTTTGGACCTCAGCAGGAATTCCTGAGGGGACATTTATGTTAAAACCCACATTTTGTGGCAGTGTGAGTGTTCCTGAACTGGGTTCTGGAGACAGAATCCTACAAAATTCCAGTGGTGTGTCTGGGATTGATAAAATGGCCCCAGGACTGGAAGGGGATGTGACAATGGTCCCATTCCAGTCCTTTGGACCTCAGCAAGAATTCCTGAGGGGGCATTTATATTAAAACATGGAGTTTGTGGCAGTGTGAGGAAATTCCCTGAAGCTGGCTATGGAGATGGAGGAAGAATCCTACAAAATTCCAGTGATGGAGGAAGAATCCTAAGAAATTTGAGGGTTGTCTGGCTGGGATTGACAAAATGTCCCCGGGAATGGGAGGGGCTGTGACAATCTTGGCCCTGGGGCTGTGCTTGGAGAGGGTCTGGATGGTCCCATTCCAGCCTTGTCCTCCTTCCAGAGCCTCTGGAGTGTTTATTTACCCTTTACGTGCCTTCAACTCAGGAAATCACAACTGTGAGCTCACAGAAAACTTGTTTGGTGGAGGAACTGCTCATTCCAAGGGCTGAAGACCAAATTTCCTCATGGGATGGCCTCGTTCCATGGCCTGTGGGGATCACAGACACCTGAGCTTAACACATGGAAAACCAGGCCCTGGAGCTGTTTTTTTGGGAGGGGGGAGAACTGAGGAAATACTTTGTATTTCCTTCTGTGTAACTGGAACGATTGGGACCAAAATAAAAGGTGGGAATTAAGCCTGTGGAGCTGCTGGAGTCTGTTTTTTTTTTTCCAGTGGTACCACGAGTGTTTATTCGCTTGAAAATAAGTGAATAAAATCAGAATTCTCTGGCAATCCGAGAAAAAATGACAGGAGAAATGTCCTCCAGTTGGGATTTAAAATCTTCCTGCTCCCTCCTGTCCCTGCCCATTCCAGGTGCAGCAGGAGAGGGAATTGCTTGGGAGTGACTTGAGTGGCTAAAAATGCAGGAGAAAAAAAAATCCCCCCCCTCCAGTTTGGGGAAATGAGGGAGGGAAATTCCCTGCTTTCCTGTCCCAGGGGAAAGAACCTGGAGGAGTGTTTCATTTTTGGAACAGGAACAGGAGTTTCCTCACTTGTAGTTTTGGGGAGAACAGAGAAAGGTGGATTAAGTTTGATCCGGGGTTTATTTTGTGTTTTTTTTTTGCTTTGGCAGCCAAAGCGTGACTCGGGTTATTCAAATTTCTGGGATTTATGGAAAGAGCTGGGAGATACTTTACAAGATAAATCCCACTCCTGGGGCTGCCATCCAGCTTCAGGCTGTGTCAAATTCCCTTCCCATTCCAACTAGATGGGATATTCCTGCTTTTCCCAGACCAGGAGCAGCAAATGATGGAATTCACGTGGATAAAGGGGCTGCTGATGTTTCCCAGCAGCTTTCTGGGGGCTGATTCTACAGATTCCAACAGAAACTTTACCAGTGATGGCAAAAATAAATATAAATATGTATAAAGTGTAGGGGTTTTTTTCCTATTTTACCTCAAGGGTTGTTTTGTTGGACACTGAAGTCCTGGAATGTTCAGGATGGAACTCTTGTCTTGGGCTGCTGCTAAAAGGATCCAGGGGAAGGAATTTGGGCGGATTTTTCAGGTGGTGTTTGGATCTGCCCTCAGGCTTGGTCGTGGGAAAATTAATCATGGAATATCCTGGGTTGGGATAGACCCACGGGGATCATCCAGTCCAACTCCTGCACACCCCAACAATCCCTGAGGGTGTTTTCCAAACACCCCTTGAGCTCTGGCTCAAAGTTTGGTTGCCCAGGTGTCACTTTTTTCCTTCTGCTCCATCCAGTGACACTTTTTTTTTTTGTGAATTGTAGAAAAACAACATTTTCTGTCCTTTGACCTGCTCCCTGCCTGACCTTTGTGCCCCTTCAGCCACTGGATCCCCTCTGGCTTTGCTCCAACAGGCACATCCTGGGGAAAACCTCCTGCTCTGGGGTGCAGATCCACAGGAAAAAAGGATGTTTACAGTGATTTTTACCTCTCATTTCCCCTCTGCCCCAAATAACCCCAAGATTTCAATTGTGAGTTCGCTCTTTAGTTCGTCGTTTAGTTCATTTTAATTCAGTTTATCAATGATTTGGTCACTTGGGCACTGACCCCACCTGGAGTTCTGTGTCCAGCTCTGGGGCTTCCAGCACAGGAAGGATGTGGAGCTCCTGGAGCAGCTCCAGAGGGGCCATGGAGATGCTCCCAGGGCTGGAGCCCCTCTGCTCTGGAGCCAGGCTGGGAGAGCTGGGGGGGTTCCCCTGGAGAAGAGAAGGCTCCAGGGAGAGCTGAGAGCCCCTGGCAGGGCCTGAAGGGGCTCCAGGAGAGCTGGAGAGGGACTGGGGACAAGGCATGGAGGGACAGGACACAGGGAATGGCTTCCCACTGCCAGAGGGCAGGGAGAGATGGGATGTTGGGAAGGAATTCCGGGCTGTGAGGGTGAGGAGGGACTGGACTGGATTTGCCAGAGAAGCTGTGGCTGCCCCTGGATCCCTGGAAGTGTCCAAGGCCAGGCTGGAGCAATTTGGGCTAGTGGAAGGTGTTCCTGCCCATGGCAGGGGGTTGGAACTGGATGATCCTTCAGGTCCCTTCCAACCCAACCCATTCCATGATGATTTAAAATCCTGAATGGATTGGAACTGGATGATCTTTAAGGTCCCTTCCAACCCATTCCATGATGATTTAAAGTCCTGAAGGGTTTGGAACTGGATGATCCTTAAGGCCCCTTCCAACCCATTCCTTGATGATTTAAACCCTGAAGGGGCTGGAATGAGATGATCCGTAAAGTCCCTTCCAACCCAGCCCATTCCATGATGATTTAAAGCTCTGAAGGGATTGGAACTGGATGATCCTTAAGATCCCTTCCAACCCAACCCATTCTGTGATGATTTAAAACCCTGAAAAGGTTGGAATGAGATGATCCTTAAGGTCCCTCCCAACCCAACCCATTCCATGATTTAAAACCCTGAATGGGTTGGAATGAGATGATCCTTCAAGTCCCTTCCAACCATGATAATTTAAAACCCTGAAGGGGTTGGAACTGGATGATCCTTCAGGTCCCTTTCAAGCCATTCCATGATGATTTAAAACCCTGAAGGAATTGGAACTGGATGATCCTTCAGGTCCCTCCCAACCCAACCCATTCCATGATGATTTAAAGCCCTGAATGGGTTGGAATTAGATGATCCTTCAAGTCCTTTCCAACCATGATAATTTAAAACCCTGAAGGGGTTGGAACTGGATGATCCTTAAGGTCCCTTCCAACCCATTCCATGATGATTTAAAGGCCCGAAGTGCCTCATTCCCACAGCTCCGTGCCTTGTCCCAGAGATGCCACTGAAAGCTCTGAGTCTTTCCTTCTGGCAGATCCTGAAGAAGCTGAAGGGCCTCGCCCTGGAGACGGAAGCAGAGCTGGAAAGGCAGGATGAGGCCCTGGATTCCATCAGCAGCTCCGTGGACAGGGCCACGCTGACCATCGACAAGCAGAACCGCAGGATGAAGAGGCTCACGTAGCCCTGGGAATGGGAATGGGAATGGGAAGAAGAGGAGGAGCAGGGAACTGGATTCATCCACACTGTTCCTGCAGGGACACTTTGATTGCCTGGGAGGTGTTTGGGAACACCTTGGAATTCTGTGCTGCTGGTGTGGACTTCCCGGAGCTTTGGTTTTCCTGAGGGTTTGGTTTTCCTGAGGGCTTGGTTTTCCTGAGGGCTTGGAATTCCTGAGGGTTTAGGAAGTATTTCCAGGTGTTTTAGGTTGAAAAAGGGGAAAACTTTTAACCCTGGGAGTGAATCCTTCCCTGCAGAACCCGTGTAAATAGGAAGGGATGTGACCGACCCTGACTCGACTTGGATGTTGCTTTTTTATGTTGCTGCTTCCGAGGGGTTTTATTTTGGGGGGGAGGTATTTGTAGCCCTGGAGCCCTGGGAATGGGAATGGGAATGGGAAGAAGAGGAGGAGCAGGGAGCTGGATTCATCCAGACTCTTCATCCATGGACACTTTGGTTGCCTGGGAGGTGTTTGGGAACACCTTGGAATTCTGTGCTGCTGGTGTGGACTTCCCGGAGGTTTGGTTTTCCTGAGGGTTTTGTTTTCGTGAGGGCTTCGTTTTTCTGAGGGTTTAGGAAGTATTTCCAGGTATTTTAGGATGAAAAAGGGGAAAACTTTTAACCCTGGGAGTGAATCCTTCCCTACAGAACCCGTGTAAATAGGAAGGGATGTGACCGACCCTGACTCGACTTGGATGTTGCTTTTTTATGTTGCTGCTTCTGAAGAGTTTTTTTCCAGATATTTTTTAGTGAAAGGAGCTGCTTTGGACGATAATTTCGATTATTACAACCAATTAATTCCCTCCCAAGGTCTTTTAAAACACTTAATATCTGAATTAAAGCCCAAATACCCAACTGAGGCTTTTTTTGGGGGGGTGACTTAATGCTCAGGTGAGCAAATGATGGGGATAAAAACCTCGTGTTCCCTCAGCAAATGCTTTTAATTCTGCTTTTAATTCACCCAGAAATGAATTTATGAGAATCTTGAAGACTTTGGGGGAAGATTTGATGGTCCTGGTACATCATTTTTTGGCTTCTTTATTTATTTATTAACACTAAGTGCTGACAAAACATTTCAGGAGTTCTTATTATTTCAACTTCTTTTTCTCCAATAAAAAAGGGACTAATGGCAAGTGGTGTCCTTTGGAATTTCCAGTTGGGAATATAGGACAGGAGAGACCTTTCCCTCTCCTTAATTGTTGATATATATAGGAAAGATTCCAGGTAATCCATAGAAAACTCCCATTTCATCGATTCCCAGTTGATTTCCCCCCTTTACCACTTATTTAATTCAGAATATTTGGTGCAATATGTCCCTTTTTTCAGCGTTTTTATTTTGTTAAATTCAGTTATTCTGGTGTTGCTTGAAATCCAACACTTTCAGTGCAATATTTGTAACTTCAAGCTTCGATTTTCCATTTTTTTTCCCACCTAAACTGGAAAGAGAAATCCAGGAAATCCCGGAGAGGGGGTTGTTTTCCAGCTTTTCCTCTCCCTTGGTTTGTATCCCTTCAATAATTTTCCGGTCCTGGTTGTTCCTGGCATGCACTTTAATGCTGAAAATCGTGATTATTCTCTATAAATAAGTGATTTACTGTGAAATAAATTCGTGTTTGGGGTTCTCCTGTTGTTTCCCACCCCCCAAATCGCTGTTGTTGGACTGTGAAGCCAAGACAAGGTTTACACAAGGAATTATTCCCTGGATTTCCAAGTGTGTTTTGTGTGGGAACTGATCCTGGTGCTGCCTGGGATGGAACCTCTGAGCTGAATTTTCCCAAATCAGCACTGCCAAAATTAAATATTCCTTATTTTGGCCTTGAATTTTGCCTTTTTTTTGTACCATATTTTGAATTATTGTGGGTTTTTCTTATATTAATTTTAATTTTAAAATAATTAATAATTAATTTCAATTATTCCATTAATAGGCTGTAATTCCTGCCTGTTAAATATCTTGGAATATTGATTTTGTCTCTTGTGTTCACTTGGCTGAGAAATGGCAGGAAAATCCTCTTTTGGAACTGGATTTCCTGGAGCATTTCCTGTAATATTGAGATTTAATGGAGCATTTCCTGTAGGATTGGGATTTAATGGAGCATTTCCTGGGGGATTGGGATTTAATGGAGCATTTCCTGTAGGACTGGGATTTTAGGATGGGCTGATTTTTAATTGGAAAAGAGGGAAAAATCCCATCTGGGGGAATATTTATTGTGGGAACTGCCCCTGGTGCTGCCTGGGATGGAACCTCTGAGCTGAATTTTTCCAAATCAGCATTCCCAGAATGAAATATTCCTTATTTTAGCCTTGAATTTTGCCTTTTTTTTGTGCCATATTTTGAATTGTTGTGGTTTCAGCCCCAGCTGTTCCATCTCCCTGAGTCTCCTGTGGGTTGTGTCATTCCAACGTGTCCAAACCCATGGAATATTCCACGTAATCCAGAGCTGTACATTGGCTGAATTCCCTGTTCCACCTGTAATTCCTGCCCATTAAATATCTTGGAATATTGATTTTGTCTCTTGTGTTCACTTGGCTGAGAAATGGCAGGAAAAATCCACTTTTGGAACAAGATTTCCTGGAGCATTTCCTGTAATATTGGGATTTAATGGAGCATTTCCTGTGGGATTGGGATTTAATGGAGCACTTCCTGTAGGATTGGGAATTAGGACGGGCTTCTTTTTAGTTTAAAAAGAGGGAAACCAATATCTGGGGGAATATTATCCATGTGAATATTTATTGGATGATGAAGTGGGGGAATGGCAGCACAGTGGGGGTTCAATCCTGGGAATTTTGGCATTGGAGAAGGGATTAAGAATTCCTTGGACATGTCACAGCCTCTTGGGACCGAAAGATGAAGGTTAAAACTTCTCTTATTCTGTAAAAATCCATTCCTGGTATTCCCAGAATTGTTCAGAGCCTCCTAAATTCCTTTCTCCCTTAGTTCTGCAAAAACATGGAAAGAGGGACTTTTTCTTTGGGGGAAATAAGGGAAAAAATGAATAAAAATTGAGGTTCCAATGCTAAAAATAAAGAGATTTTCCTTGGAAAAGCTCTTCAGCTCCTGCAAACCAGGACTGGATTGTCCTGGATCGTGTGGGGGGGGTTTATAATCCAGTGGGTTTTCATGGAAGGGATGAGACCTGGAAATTGTGGCATTGGAGATGCTCCAGCTCTTGGAGAAGGGATTGGGAATTCCTTGGATGTGTCATGGCCTCTTGGGACAGAAAGATGAAGATTAAAACTTCTCTTATTCTGTAAAAATCCATCCCTGATATTCCCAGAAATGTTCAGAGCCTCCTAAAGGCCTGAATTTCTAGGAATTTCTAGGAAGAAATTCCTCCTGATGTCCAGCCTGCCCCTCCCCTGGCACAGCTGGAGGCCGTTCCCTCTCCTCCTGTCCCTTGTTCCCTGGGAGCAGAGACTGATTCCACCCTTCTCCCCCCTCCTGTCAGGGGGTTGCAGAGCCAGAAGGTCCCCCCTGAGCCTCCTTTTCTCCAGGCTGAGCCCCCCCAGCTCCCTCAGCTGCTCCTGCTGCTCCAGCCCCTTCCCAGCTCCCTTCCCTTCCCTGCACACACACAGATCCCACCATGGGCAGAAAGTCAGCCCAGGCCAGGCCAGGCTGTGCTTCCAGCTGCTCCCATGGATCCCCCATGGGCAGATTCCCTGTGTAACACAATCCTGACCCAGGCTGGGACATACCTGGCTTAGATATTCCCTAACCTGGGTCATTCCATGCCTTCCATCCACTGGCACCCACAGCTTGTTCTGCCTCTTGGCCCTTGGGTCACTTTTCCACCCATTGCAAAGAGCCAGAAAACATGAAAACTGGATCCTTCTGGAAGTGGGAATGTTTTGTGTTCAGCTTCCAAAGTGCTTTGCTGAGGCCAAAATCTCGCCCTTGGTTTTGGGGTTACTGGTCCAGGAAATGTCTTTGGAAGAGCCTGAAGGGGCTCCAGGAGAGCTGGAGAGGGACTGGGGACAAGGGATGGGGGGACAGGACACAGGGAATGGCTTCCCACTGCGTGAGGGCAGGAATAGATGGGATGTTGGGAAGGAATTCCTGGTTGGGAGGGTGGGGAGGGACTGGACTGGATTTCCCAGAGAAGCTGTGGCTGCTCCTGGATCCCTGGAAGTGTCCAAGGCCAGGTTGGAGCAACCTGGGATAATGGAAGGTGTCCCTGCCCATGTCAAGGGGTGGCACTGGATGATCCTAAAGGTCCCTTCCAACCCAAACCATTCCATGATTCCAAGATTTCCAGGAGCAGCTGAGTGATGCCCACAGAGCACCTTGCACAAGAGAACACCTAAACCCCAAATCCATGTTTCCAGTCCTATCTCCCCATCCCTCTGATCTGCCCAAAATCCAAACACAACTTCCATCTCCTTTTTCTTTTCTTTTTTTTTCTTCTTTCTTTTTTTTTTCTTTCTTTCTTTCTTTTTTTTTATTTTAATTTTCTTTTCTTTTTTTTTTTCTTTTCTCCGTTTTCCCCGTTATTTAATAATTTGCCCCCAGGTATTTCTCTGTAAATTCAAACAGCATTTCCCCCCCCACTATGATTTCCAGCTCTTTAAAAAGAGATGAAAAAAAAACCCCAATGGTGGCCAAAGCAGAGGAAAAAGGGGAAAAAAAAATCCCCTTTTCCCCCCAGGGGGGTTTATTATTATTATTATTATTAGCTCAGGTTCTCTCTGCTGTTTGTTTTTATGACAAGGTGCAAAAAGCTGCCTTTCAGAAGCTTTAGCACCTTTTTTCTCCTTCATCCCACTGCTCCCCCTCCACTTGGAATCTTTTCCCTAATGGCTCTCTGGGATAACAACCCGTGGGCATCGTGTCATAAAGCACAAAACCAGCCCAAAATTGTGTAAGAGAGGAGCCAAAACCACCTGGAAATGAGCTTTTTCTCACCCTGTGAATTTTGCGTGGCTCGGAGCTGGCAAATCATAAATTGAATTTTGTGTGTGGAAAAGCAGGATGCAGGGAATGGTTGGCACGGGGTGGCACTGCGGGGTTTGGGCTCTCTGGGTTACAACACTCTCGTTTCCTTCCCTTCTGGGTTGCATTTTCCAGGCTTGACTCACCCTGAGCAGTGGTTTTTTCCCACCTCAGAGGGGGTGGAAAGGCTTTGGAGAGGGTGTTTGGGGGATTAGGGATGGAGGAAATCCTGAATTCAGGACTCTCCAGGCTCCTTTTGTAATCCCTGGTGAAGGGTGGGTTGTTCCAGAGGGCAGGGACAGTTCCTGTGGCAGATCCCTGAGGAGTCTGGAACTTCATTTTGGGTTTTATCCGTCCAGCTGGGACAGGGAATTGCCTTTGGGCCAGCAGTGGACCCCTCAAAACCAGCAGGACACGGGGATTTCGGGATTCCCTTGTGGAATTTCCACCCAAGTCAGAGCAGATGTCTCAGCCCGGGGTGGGCTCTGCAAATCCAACATCCACAGGGGCAACAAAGAGAAACTGGGAGATGCCAGAGGGTGGCAACCACACCGAGCCTCAAAACAGGGAGTGGAGCCCAAGGTCACAGAATCATGGAATGGTTTGGGTTGGAAGGGACCTTAAAGATCATCCAGTGCCACCCCCTGCCATGGGCAGGGACATCTCCCTCTATCCCAGGTTGCTCCAAGCCCCATCCAGCCTTGGACACTCCCACTTAGTGCTCAGAATTCCCCTGGCATCTCCTGACAAACCTGGGATTCTTCAGCCTCGGCGCTGAATAAGAACGTGTGAGTTCACTCTGTCAGGGCTGGTATCTTTGGAAAACATGGAAACCCTCGATTTTCTGGCAGGAATAAGAGAGATCCACTGTGAAAGCTCTGCCTGTCTCCTGCTCTTGGAGCCCGGGCTGGAGCGTTGGGATCCTGTCGCTCCCGGCAGGAACCGGAGAGGAGGAAAAGAGGAGGGAAGAGTGTTTGATCCTTTCCCTTATCTCTCTGGCCTCCCACTCTCCCTTATCTCCAGGCCCTGTTTGTTTTTCCCAGGTGTGGGCAGGTGCAGCTCCTTCCCTTGGGTGGTTTTTCCCACTCCTGGGCCGTGGATGGAAAATGTGAGCGCTCGGATGAGCTCGGGGGCAAAGAGGGAGGGGAGGGAGCAGCCAGGACACCTTAGCTCAGCTCTGCCAGGGCTTTTTCAACAGTCCTCTCGTGGGCCTTGGGAGATGGGATTAATTGAGGGCTTTATCCTGCCCTCAAGGATGCTTTTCCTTTGGATTTAGGGGTCTGGAAGGAGGTCTCGGCTCCCCAGCCCAGGGCAGAGCTCAGGGGCAAGGCAAGGCAAGGGTTGACTTTTTGCTCCAATTTGGGAGGTTGGAGGTGAAGAACATCCATGATCACGGGAATAAAATCAGCTCCTTCCCAGGAGAGCTGCCAAGGAGGGGAAAATCCACACTGTGGAATCCCAATCCCCAATCTCCAATCCAGTGCAATCTCTTCCCCCTCCTTTAATAGTTTTGCTTAATTTGGTCTCTTCTACCAATTTCCAAACAGTATCAGCTGGGGTGGTCCCCATTTGATTAATTTGGCCCTGATTTCATTAGAAAAATTTTGATCCACATCAAACTCCTACTTGAGGGACTCCAAAGCAAGAAACGACAGTGGAGTTTAAAATGAGTTTTTCTTCCTCCCTCCCTCGTGCCATTCCTTCCTTCCCAGTGTTTCCACTGCTGTGATCCATCACTGTTTCTGTTATAAAATAGATATTTGTATTTATATATTTAATTATTTATATATTTATATTTATGTTTATGTTTATGTTTATATTTATATTTATATGTTTTATAAGGGCAAGGCAAGGGCAAGGGTTGACTTTTTGCTCCAATTTGGAAGCTTGGAGG